GACGACGACGACAATGATGATGATGATGATGATGATGATGATGATGATGATGACGATGAAGATGACGATGAGGACGACGACGAGGATGAGGATGATGATGATGATGATGATGATGATGATGATGATGATGATGATGATGAAGGCGATGATGATTGATGAAGAAGAGGAGACGACGACGACGGCGACGACGACGACAACGACACATGCATACATCCTGTCTGCTCCTCGCAACGGACTACCCTGTTTGTACACACAGTCTTGGGGGTTCCAGGTGGAGAAGTTCGTCCATCAACAGGTATCAACAGGTGGTGAGGAGCTGTCGAGAGGGCCCTCTAGGTCAATTTTTTGGGAGCAGATCCGCATGCACAGCTCCATCAGCCTCAAGCTTGAAATTTGACGTCATATATCTCTCTCTCTCTATGCATATATATAATATATAATGGCACAAATGTCTTGGTCATTCTTTGTGAGCAAGTCACAGTCAGTCACAGTCACTGTATAGGCCTTTTTGCAGTTTTGTGGGAGCGGACTCTGTTGGAGGAACGTACTATGATACCAGCCATGTGCCAGAAACCAAATGCCGCTTTGCTAGAAACCAAATCGCAACTTTTGTATCTACCTTTCTGATCCTTACTAGCAAGGACGCTATTAGGTGGAGGCCATCGCTACTAGTAGCAAAGGGCATTACTACTAGGAGCAAGGACGCTACTAGTAGCTCCTGGCATTACTACTAGTAACAAGAAGCTACTAGGGTGGAGGGCTGTCTGAGCGTGGTGGGCGGATTCGCAGATCGTGAGTTTCACATGCGACATCGACCTTTTCTTCGACCGAAGGTGGTGACCCAGAAGCGGGGTCACCAAGAAGAACCAAAGAACCCAGCAAAATGACCACACTTTCTAGACAACGAGGGCCCCACACTCTGTTTGCTGCATTGAAAGCAGATCAAGATCAACCAGACATATCAATTAGAGATAAGATAGATAGATTGTAAGAATAGATTCTTTCTGTTCGGTGGGTATGACGTCAGATTCCAACAGCTCCACCGGTGTCTCGACCCGCAGGCTGCCTCCTGGGAGCCGCACTTGGCCTATGAGACGGCGCGTGCGAGCGCGGTAGAGACCACTGCCTCAGGACGGGGGGAGACCAGACCAAGGGCCTCAGGCTGGGTTCTGTGAGATGGGTGGGCTGAAAATGGAGACGGGTCGCATTTGGCCTCAGGACTGGGTGAACGGGCTGGTTTCTGATCGTTTGTCAGGTCGAGTTTTGGGCATCGCACGAGTTTTAACTCGTCCGGCTTCTCTGGACCGGTTTCATCGTTTCGCCTGGTTTCACACGTTTTGATGAACAAGATTAAAGAAGGAGTTTGGGAAGTTGATTCAGGCACGACGCAAACCGATCTGCCTTGCCAGCAGATAGAAATAGTGTTTGGGTGATGCTCGTATTTACCTGGATGCGTGAGTAGGGGGTTGAGTTCAGTGTGAGGGTCGGAAATCTAAAGTCCGCCTACGGGGACATCGCAACATCTTCCTTGGAGGTGGTCCTACAGCAGAAGTCTTAAGCTGATTAACTGTTACCAAGCTGTCAGGCCAGACTTGTCTCCCAGTCCATTCACCGCAGGAAGCACCAATCAACACAAAAATAACACAGCTTCGCAGGACTCATGTGGACCTTCTCCCCCATGGTGGACACGGCACGAGACCAGCGCTGGGGGCGGAATCTGGAAGGTGCCGGCGAGGACGGAACCGACGAAGACGGGTCTCACCGGCGTCCGAAGACAGTTCGGGCTGTCGTGAGTGGTCGTGAGTGGTCGGGACGTCGTTCGTGATCTTTTTCGGCTCGGGATGTGGACGGAGTGAGAGGAACCAGGGACGGTTGGGCTTCGTTCAGGTGTTTGGTTCATTGCCCAGAGGTTTCTTGCTGTGACACGCCAACAGTTGAGGTTTATAGAAAACGCGCTAGACATGTAACACTTCAATGAATCCCTCCCTCATTTATATAAGAGTTTTCCTCTGTGATTCCGACCCTCAGGTTTGAGATTTGGCATTTCTTGTCCCTATCATCAGTGCTGATCCGGCTACCGCCGCTGTGGTGAGGATCCCTTTCTGGGAGAGGCCTTTGCTGTGGCACGGGTCCAAGGCTTCCAAGGCAACGACACCCGGGCAAACGACAGCCTGGCGAGCTGCCTCAAGCACTTCGCGGGCTACGGGGGCACCTCGGATCAAGGGCCTCGGAGCTGGGCCCGTTTTTGGTGGCGCTTTCTGCACCATGTTTGCGCAACAAGGGGCCAAGGGGATCTCTTTTTGGGTGGGGAGGGGGTTCGAGACTTGAAATACTTACTGTAGGACTTCAAGGAGTTTTTTGGGCGACGGAGTGGTTCAAGGCTGGTTTTGCGCTTTGGATCACAGGACCATGGAAGAAACCAAAGAAGTCGTATACAGCACCTGGGACCCTCAACCCCCAAAAATTGGTCCCTCCGTTGAAATCAGTCTTTTGTACTCTCGAGTCTGTCGGAGTCTTCGTTCATCAAGCTGTTTAAACTGGTCGTGAAGCCGCAGGACGGAAAGAGGCCAAGAAAAAGGTTGCCTTTTCAGCAGGAGGACACCCCCCCCCACCGTGGCCACCGGAGCCCAAGACCGTCGGCGCCGGTTCCACTCAGCGAGGTGTGTTGGGTGGATTGGACTACAGCGAGAGTGACATGTCCGAGGCCTTGGTAATCCGATCCGGGCGAGATCCGCGAGTTGGGGTGGGAGAGTCAGGCGAGCCCACAAGGCTTCCAGGGCCAAAGAAACCTCAAGGAGAAGGCACCTTTCTACTAGTAGCTTGCTCCTAATAGCGATGCCCTTGTTACTAATAGCTTTGTGTGTTGCTCCCAAGTTCCAAGGGTAAGGACTTCGCATTCCAGACGGGAGCATACCTCTTTTTTGCAAGCACGGGCACTGAAGATGTCTGGAGCACGGGGCGAGGTCCGAGGCGAGGTCCGGGCGCTCCGGGGATGAACGTTCGACCGCCGGCGGCGAGGCGACCTTTCGCGAGGTCTTCTTGCCACCGTTCAGTGCCTTCGTGGAGACGAACACAGCGACGTGCGAATGCGAATCCGAATGTGGGAGACATAGACCCACTCGTGATCGTCAGAGTCAACCCTGGGTATGGCCCAAAAGAAGGATTTGTCATGGGATAGTCGGATAGTGATAGTCGACACCTAGAGATGTTCACCTTTGGGGGAATGAGTCAAGTCTTGATTCACCAGGATCTTTGTAGATACCCAGGAATTGCACTACGTCACTACGTGCGTCATCGGCCATCTAACCTGGAACCACCCTTCTTAAGGCATCTGGACAATCCCAAGAGCTATCATGGAGAATATTTCGTTTGGAGAAGCACATCACCCTGCACTCTCCTTTGCTGTCTTTCAGCCATCCCCAGTTGCTGAAACCACCAGTGGCCGAAACCAGGTGCTGCCATTCGTGCGGGTGCCTTGACCATCATGAGCGCCTTCCAAGCTCTCGGAGGCTCGAGGGAGTTCGCCTTCAGGCCCAGCCTGGTTTCGGCCCAGGTGTTTTCAACAAACACCAGGAGATGTGGTCAATGAAACGGGTGGTTTCCGCATCGGTTGTCGTGATGATCAGTTTGTGGATAGGTTGTCATGATGATGTTGGAAAGGTGTCACGCTTTAGGCACCTTTTCAAAGCAGTAGGACTAGCCACCAGAAACCCATGTCATTTCAAAGAACTAAACATATATAAACATATTGTTTTGACAATATGTACTTGCAAACCTGAACGGGAAGCGCCCTTTTATACATCTTAAATGTTTAAACATACCCGCTTTTATCGAACAAAATCCATCGCTGTTGTCGGTGCAGAGACATTTGTACTGCCATCCTTCGGTGACACTTGTGGATTTCTGATATAAGGGCAAACATGAAGGACAAGGATGGACGACTTTTTTTGCATTTACGATAACTTTTTGACGCGCCCATTGCTTGTGACATTTTGTTGAAGAAAGACACTCGTGTGCGTGTGCAGGGGTGCCGGCCACTGGCAACCGCTGGCTCCTGACAGATGTTTTGAGATCTGAACTGGGCTTCAAAGGCTTTGTCGTCACAGATGCCTGGATTGTTCAGCAGAGGCCTCGTAGAGCCATCTCAGGATCTTCTTCATCAACAGTATATATATGGAATCTACACAGAGTGTAGCCCCCCAAAACTAACATACAAGCTGACCATAGGCTCTTTGAAGACGACTGTATCCTACAAGAAACTCTTGAAGTTCCATGGATCCTTTGGAACCGCATCGATGCTCGATGGAACCGCCCGCTCCCAGGACTACAACGCAGATGGGGAGATGGTGAATCATGGATCCTCGACTCACTCCGTGGTGAGTCTCGAGATCGAGACCCCTAGTGCCTGACAAAGCCAGCATCAAGGCCTCATTCCCATGCTGTGCACAGTGACAGATCCCTACATATATCTACGAAGGCTGGCCTTGGTTCCTCCCACCACTTTCTATCTTTATTCAGGCCATCCATGTTTGACTTTCCAAGTCGATCGTGTAGCTGCAACCAATGGCCGAAGACTAAAACACAAGTAAAGAGCCCAGGTTGCCCGATATGGTGGCAACTAAGATCCATCGCGCTATCGCTTGACCGTAGTCCTCCACTTTCATGCCGTTCAACAGACTGCCTGTACAGCCCAGGATTTGCAGCCAATCAGTCGGACGCTGCTCGACTTGCATTGTCTGCCGGCGTGGACATGAGCATGCACAGTGGTGCCTTTCGACATTTGCCCGACTTGGTGTCGAACGGCTCGGTGTCGCACGAGCGCTTGGATGAAGCGGTGCTGAATGTCTTGAGAGCCAAAGCTGCCATGGGCCTCTTCTCAAATCCTTACAAGACCTTGGACCCTTCGAAAGAATGGCCAAAGGGCCAAGGTGACAAAATTGAAGCTCATGAGCAGCTCGCGCGCCGCGCTGCCCGGAAATCCTTGGTGTTGCTGAAGAATGAGAATGAGATCCTACCGCTCAAGAAACGTGGCCAGCGCATTGCGGTGATCGGTTGGTGGGCGAATAGTACCGACACGGATGGTGTTGGCGTCATTTGGGGCAACAAGTCGCACACAGTGACCTTGTTGCAAGGTTTCTTGGATGGTCAGAGACCAGGCCTTCTTCAAACAGATCCGGGGTTCCGGGTAAAAGCAATTCGTGTTTGGTACGTGGTGATGTCATGCAATCAGAGTACACAGAACTGAAGAAGATGGCAGACCTCCTTTCATTGGACATTCGTGTTTTCAGGCACTGTTACAGACTCGACTCGCAGGGTTCAGGTGCCATCAATCAATATGAATCAATATGCATGGAAACAGACTCAATCTGATTCAATCTTTCAGCTTTTGTCTTAGCAAGTTCTTTGGGTCTTGCCTCCCCGCCAGGGCTTGCCTCTCCCAAGTGTCGAGAAACCTAAGACTATGGCTTACCTCATGAAAGGGACCAAAGATTGCGGTGCGAAAATGCCTGTCATGAAGCTGTAGGCGGTTCCGTCCTTAAGAAATACCACTAGTGTTGGTTGATGCAAGGTTTCAGTCAACCTGGGGGTGTGCTGGGGATGTTTTGAACAACCAATTTGATCCAAAAAGATAACAAAAGGTGTTTGAAGATTAACCTAGTGGACTTACTTCGGAAGTAATCGTATTCTCCTTACTGGGGTGTTCATCACGGGGGTCAGTCACCATGTGCATCAGCCGTGAAGTGGCAAGTCTATTTCGGGTCAATGACATGTCACGAGCAGCTTTTGGGGAAGGAACATACACGGTGTGAGGCTCGCCACAACTCGTCAGGATTCGAGAAGGGAACAACAACGTGTTTTTTTTAATGTCTGGAGTCGGAGTTTTCAAGAAGAAAAGCTTGATACCATCCTGGTGCTGTATACTGTATACCCCATTGCTGACGCTTGATACCATCCACCATCCACCTTGGATTTACCCAGCAAACAGACACGAGAGTGCATGAGAGTGCCAGACACGATTGTGCCATGTAGCACACCAGGAGATTCTGAATGAAAGGGTGAACTTGGTGGATTGAGATCTCTTCCAAGAGTGAGATTGGATCCATGGATCCATGTGCGGAGTCGTTGCGTCGTTGCAGGTTTGGAGGCCGTCCTAGACTCGTCTCAACTCCGCTTCGTGCATGGCGTTGACCCCTCCGATGCCTCGACCTTGCTTCATGGACTGGGCAAGGATTCGCTCGCACACGCTGTGGCGGCCGCACGCTGGGCAGATGTGGCCACTGGGCAGATCACTGGTGACACCCGAGTCGGGAGGTGGGTCAACACCTGCCTGTACAAAGGCTTTCTGTCCATTTGTAGGGTGGAAATGGGGTGGTCTCTTTGCAGTCTGCTGGGGCATAGAGCAAGAATCCTTCATCACACGAGCTACGACTAAGACTTTCAATTGGATGGTTTAGTGAGGAGTTGAACATGGTTGAACCATCAAATCCACCAACGCATCAGAGGATCACCCCTGAATCCCTGGTGATCCTCATTTGCCTGGAGGGTTGAGATGTCGCATATCGAAACCGGCTCTTTAGGGTGGGACTGAGATTCCTCGCAGCTCTGTGTGACGTTGAATAAGAGATACTGAGCAACACTTGCATCAACGGTTTGTATACAACTATTGTCGGGAGCCAGACTGTGAACAGCCACATAATTTTCATCACCAGCAACATCCTCTTCCTCCTCCTGCTTCTCCTCCTTCTCATGATTGGCTGCTGCAAGCAATGTAGACTGTTACGTTGATTCACAACCCCCCTCTACCCGCATGTCTTTACATCTTCAGGCGTGGGGTGTTTTATTCGGTCTTATTCATCAACAGTCTAATAGCAATGGCCTCCAACCTAAGAGCGATGGCCTCCAATGTACAAGTTCAGAGAATTGGACATCTCCTTCTCCAACAAGCTCCACCGGTAAGGTTCTTCTAGCACTTGGCGAGTCCTCCCCAATGGTTGGGGAGGCGGGGCGGGAACATGGGGGGCCTGGAGTTGCGCCTTGCTAATCCAGTAGTGTGAGTATGAGAATGTGAATGTGTTTATATGTGCTTTTATTTGTATCCTCAATAATTTTTCAGTAGTTCTTTATGATTCATGGGTCTTTCCCTTCTATGTGAAGGCTCTTGCTTGGATGAAGTAGGGCAGATCTCATCTGAGAAAGTACATTGATGGGTACATTGATGAGCTTTGGAGGTTCGCTGTGACAATGATGTTTCTTATTGGATACTTGGTCAGACCTGTTCACTGTTCAACATGGACTGACCGGTCTTCAGACACATGGACTGGTCAGACATCTACATCGATCCGACAGGAAAGTAGAGAAACCAGCAATGCAGACCTCCGGCGTCATCGAGAGGACTGAGTCCAATCACCTGAAATGTCAAGACGTACCTCCGTCAGAATGGTCCAAACACCCATTTGAGGACCGAACGCCGAACATGCTACTTTTTTTTCCATACTCAGAGCTCCTGGCATGTCAAACATCTCTTTGTCGCGACCCATCCAAAAGCTCCAAAAGCCGCAACACGAATTTTGTGGATCCACTTGATCCGCTCCAATCGAATCTGCCCATCCAAAACCGTGCGTCGAAGGCCAAGAGTGTGACCACCTTGGAGCTCCCTTTGGGGCAACGACTCCTCGCAGAGGCTGTGGCCAAAACCAAGACGCCCACGGCCGCACGGATGGAAAGGACACGGATGGGATGGAGAAGAATCGACGGGCATGGGTCCCTCGACTTCCATTCGTTCAGAGACTAGCCCAGAAAAAGGAGATGAAAAGAACATTTATATATGGCATATGGAAAAACATGTGAATGTGATGCCCAGAAAGGGGAGATCCCACTCATTTGTGCCAGTCCAGAGGTTAAGACCAAATTCCCAATGGGAACAACAGCCCAAAACCTGGAGCCCGCCGCTTGATAGAACAGCAGAAAGGCAGATGTCTCCTTGCGCTGTTCGTCCCGCATGGAAAGCAGCGATTTGGATTCTATAAAATGGTCACCAGGCGCCAAAAGGCTGCAGGATCTCTAGGAGGCTTTTGGCAAGTGGATTCTTTTCCGAATGCCTCGGTTTGGAGAGGTTACCGCTTGGTCACAAGCCTTGAAGTGGCTTGTGGTTGAAGGTCAGGAGGTTGAGGGAGCCATGTTGCTTCATGTGGAAAGGTCGACGTGACTTTCTCACATCACACTGAGGTGGTCCTCCTGAAGAATGGCCGTGCTTTAGAGTTGGAGGGCGCCGTGCGAAACGCCTCCGCCATCATGGTGACCTGGTTCCTGGGGACGCTCGGTCTGGCCCCAGCGGCGTCACCAAAGAAACAATCGAATGGGCGGGACTGTTCTCTGCCGCCTGGGGTGTAGAGGTGGCGTTTTCTGTTGATTTGCTCTGGATGCAAGTGGGGGATGTGTCAAGCCCGATGTCTAAATCAGCATCTCAAAGTACATCTGTATCATATAACAGTATATCAGTAGATTAAAGTATATATCAGTATCAAACAACTCATGTATGTCATGTATCCTCATTTCTCAAACATAAGGTTTCAGGAATGGTTTCAGCGCATCCAGTTGACAAGTTGGCTGTGAATCAAAACGCCACGAAGCCTAGTTGACCCCTGAAAATGAAGGGATTCCTCAATTTTCAACCTACCATGGTTTGGTGAGGGAGATTTTGACTCACAGCCTTATTTGGTTTCCCACTCTTGTGCACCTCTGGCTTTCGTGCATGTCCTTGTTTCAGACGTGCATGTCCTTGCACCACAAAACCCCGCGAGCGGCTCTGCAGTAGTTGGGAGAGTTGACCCGAGGAAAATGACAGGACATGCGATTGCAGACGTGCTCTTTGGCGACTACAGTCCGTCGGGTCGTTTACCGATCAGCTTTCCCATCAAGAGTGGCTTGGAATGAGTTGACATGTGAAGGTCGGACTGTAGAATGGTCCCTAGGTCCCTAGCAAAAATACTCGCAAAACTCCGATGTTGGATGAAAGAACTGGTATTCTGCCACGTTGCTGGGGCCAACGGCACTGCGATCATCACCCGCAAGGATGCCAGGGTCTATCTGCCTCTCTCTGGAATCATTATTGCAAAACACATGCAAGAAAACTGCAAGGAACCTGCATTTCAGCAACAAATGAAGTACACCTGAATTTGCCAGACTGCTAAACTGCGACTGCTGAGACTATTGAGTAGTGACTACTGGCTATTTGCTTGTGTCATAAGTGTCACGGCTGATCTTCATCGCCAGCTCACCTCCACCATCCACTCCATCTCTCGCACTTCGCCTCCAGCTCATAACCTTGGCTCCAGATGACGCCTCCAGCTCCAGATGACAGCTTGGCACCAGCTCCACCTTTACCCAACACTCACTCTCACCTCCAGCTGCCATTAGCAGCCAGTTTGGTTTCACCTTCTCCGTCGTCAAAACAGCGCTTCCACTAGCCTCCCAACTTCACCTAGACCTCTCTAGCTTCGCCTGGACCGCAGTTGCTTGGCTCTTTCCATTTTGCTCAGAGTTTTTCACATTTGCTCGCACTGGTCTTGCAGTTTCACTGGCACTTGAACACCCACTCGCAAGTTTGTTGCACATTTCTGGCCGTCTTCAGTTTTCTCACACATTTTTGATTTACTACTTTGGTTGAATAAATAGGGCTCACGTCCACTCGCAGCTTCGTCGCCGTTTTCTTGGAACACCTGCGATCCAAGCAGACGTGATCCACTGATGCGATCTCGACGCCGGACACGGACTTGGTGATGCTCGATGGAGGGCCAACGGCCAACTGATCATTCCTTTTCTGCAAGCGCTGTTGGTCAACACTCCGGACACATGGCCGGCCATGCTCCGGTTCGTGCTCGCATGGTCCAAACGGCCTGGGGGTTGTGTAGTGATCGAAGGCATCTATTTATGTGGAACAAATTGAGAGAGACCCTGAAGAGAACACCATATTCCAATGATACAACAGAACCCCCGCAAAAGCAAACAGGGAAGTGAACACGTTGGTTGTATCGTCCCATGCCCGTTTCCGCGAGAAGATCCGCTCCTCCCTGTTGAGCAGGTGGCCAACAGCCTTTATATTACAATCACTTGAGCTCGGGCCGTCCATGCATCTGGGGCTGGGGCTGGAACAATTGCTATCGAGATGCCCCAGGCGAGAGGTTTTTTTGATGACTGGCCTGCCACACAATAGGGCTCCTCCACTGGGGCTCAATTGGTTTGTGGTTTAACATATATAAGTATATATATATACACATTTTTATTATATTTATGACTTGTTTCACAAGAAGGCACAGTCGTTTTGTCTGTTGCGGGCACCTGAAAGGGTGGCAAAGCGAAAAGTGGGAGCACTGTTCCCACTTGAAGACAGTTGCGTCAAATCCCAATCTTTGTTGGAGAAAAACACCAAACTTACCGCTCTAGTTCACTAGTTGGGCGTACTCGGGCCGGATACTCAGCCTGGTTCCGGACTTTTTCGAGAAGAAATTACCGGTCCTCCACCGGACACCCGCCCAACGTGGGCGTTGGGACGTTGATCAGACACATGAAAGCCTTGCCACGTGGGCCAGGTCGGGAAGCGTTGTTCTCCTTTGGCGGCTCAGCGAAAACAGGTCTGTCAAAAAGCATCTTCGTTCGACGAGCAGACGTAGTGTTGTGGAGGATGCCTCTTCAGGGGAATACTCGGGCAAGGAAGATGTGTCTCTCATTTTTGGGGAAGATGCTGACTCTGAGGTCAGAGGAGGATTCCTCAACCCGAGGTGATGGTCAGCTTGGTGTTTGAACCTTTTTCAAGCAGCCAGAGACCAATGTGACTAATTAATGCCTCCCGTACGTCCCTCAGGGGTGATCAATCAGTTGTAGGTCAATGGGAGCCGGTCATCCGCAACGCCGCTCTCCACACATCTCCACACCGTGGGATCCGGAGCGACTCCGGAGGGCGGTTGCGCGGCGGGACCAATCGGAGTTTTTGGGTTCCCATCAACACGTTTGGAATTTGATGAGAACATGATAGTTGATCTGAGATGGTAGTTTATGGTCACCTGGTTTGGAATTTCCTTGCCACATGGATGGCGACTGGCCAGATGGTTTCGCAGCTCAGATGGAGTCAAGTTTCCCTGAACATGCGTACGTCTGACGCATGACAAACGTGAGGAATCCAAACTCCGAACTTGTTGAGTGGGTGTCGGATTGTTTGTGCCCAGATCCTAGGATCAATGACTGCTCTAAATTTGGTGTTGCAGTATCTGTTCCATGTAGTGCCCCTTCCTTGTACGTGCTTGGTATGGAGGTCTTGAATCAGACCCAAACCGTTGATGCAGACGGAGGCAGGTCAATTTCTAAAGGCGAAAGAACCCTTCAATTCTTGCCGATCCTATGGCTAGCGGATGCCAGCGGCTAGGATGGAAGACCGATCTAAGGACATGGTCTCACGTACAGCATCGTGGAATATGGCTCTCCATGGTTGGACAGCCCAAGCATGCCATGGGATGGCGAACTGGGGATTTTTTGCAACATCTCCAATCGCGGCCAGCGTGCCGCGCATGAAGTGGTTCAGCTCTACGTGCATGACATGGTTGCTAGCCGTGTGCGCCCAGTGAAGGAACTGAAGGGCTTCCAGAAGATTTGGCTCCAAGCTCAAGAGACTCAAACTGTCCGTTTTCGCTTGAAAAGAGAGCAGCTGGCGTTTGCCACTCCACCTCATTCGGACAGCACCATGCTGTACATGGTTGAGCCGGGGAAGTTCCTGCTTTGGGTCGCTCCCTCCTCTGCCGCGGGCGAGCCGATCGAATTTCATTTGGCGGGTCCTCCACGCCTCTCGTCCGCGGTGTTGGGGACGTTTCTTGGCCGATCGCACCGATGGAGCGTGATCCTATACGGATCATATGGGTTTCACGGTGTCTTTTTCAGTCAACAAATAGTCTAACTTATTGTTTCGAACGAACAATACAACATACGGATCATATGGGTGTTTATTAGAATAGGGAGACCTCCCACGTAACGATCCCATGGAAGAAGGAACATAGACCAGTCAACCCATTTGGGGGTCTTTCTATGGAATTCCACACCCATATGAATCCCATAAGAAAATTACGACATGTGATTATATATGCGACATGAGACATTCTCTACACCCGGGAAGATTAACATGGAACCTGAAAATGAATCTTTGGAAGACCTTTTCCTCTACAGCCAAGTGGTTTTCAGGTTCCATGTTAATTTTCCAGGGTGTATCCATTTCTATCCACTTTGATGTTAACTCAGCTTGGTGACAAACTCTCGCAGAATGCCCGAGGGCCGAGCAAAAAATAAACCAGCGTGGTGAGTTCTCTTCAGCCTCACATCCAGAAGAGGTTTGTTTGTTATTGTTGCAATTGTTTGAGTGGGGAAGACAAGAATTGACACCACCTTTGCCACGACTCGGGACTTAACCACAAAATAAAGAACTTGACAACTTGTGTATAACCATCACACCAGGGTACCTTGATTTCGTTTGAGCCCAGCAGTGTCTCATCATCCACCATCCTGGAGTTCGCAAATTGTAAGCTCAAGAGATGTGTACCAGTTCTGAGGAAGATGACAAGAGGCCAGGAGCCCCTAGCTTCTAGTTCCTAGTAGCGATGCCAGGATCCCCTAGTAGCGTCCTAGAGCATACATCGGAAGATGACACTTTCAGGCCGGGAAGGTCACAACCCATTTCAGACCGCAGAAACCCGCTTTTGGACGTGTGTTACAGGTGACTCTGCAGGCTTCGGGAGGGTTTTCCGATGTTTTCAATTGGAATCTGGGGAGGCGTCCGCAGCCAAGGATTGATATAGATGGCGCCAATTTCGGTCGGGCGTGCCGTTCAAGACGGCCCGGCCATGGGCCATGACACAACGCAGGTTTTGTCTGAAAGGGAGGCCCGCAATGTTTGTCATGGAAATGGAGCCATTTGGATGCCATTGGCTAATTGCTTTGGCGGGTTCTCAGCGGTCAGACACAACCAAATATGCATGAAATTGAGGACACAACTGGTGGGAGAGAAGTTGGACTTTTTTCCACGATTAGATGCTTTGTCGAAACCACTGTTTCGGGTTTCCGCAGATGCATGCAGAAATGATCAATTGCCATTTCCTTGAGACCTGCGTCACTTGGAAACCGGGATGCTTACTCTACTGGCATACTCATAATCATACTCAATTGAGGACAGAACATGGTGATTGAACGTGCATTTTGACATCTAAGGAATATACAGTATCCACCGCAATCAACTTCAATCGCCAGCACCACATGTTTTCCTATTGGTTTGAGATTGTCCCATGAACAACCAACCATGTTCCATGAGTCTACCTTCTTCGGATTTATATCATGAGATATGGAAACAACACAAATGGGTGCGTCCCCCCAAGTTATAACATCTCCTGGACGAGTAGACCAACACCCCTTGGGCCAAGGAGCACCTCCCCATTTTCATACGGCCAAATCATCCCAGCGGATGATCGGCTTAGAGTTGCACAGTTAGACCAACTGCCAACTGTTGGGGCCTCCCTATTTTCATCAAGGGTCAACTGCCTTCGGCCGGAGCCCAACCGAGTCGGTCGCAGGACGAGCCAGGGGTCTTCGGCGAGGGAGCGGGGTCGCCGAAGCGAGTCGTAGACGACTTAAAGGAGAAGACAAGAACCATAAGGAGGTCCACGACCGAAACAAACACCGGAGTTTCCCGCTACGAAGAACATACCCAGCCCCAGAGCAAGATAGCAAGGAAATCCAACAACCAATTGCTGGATTGTGGGACTGTTAGGTATAAGAACAATCCTTTAAGGAGCAGAACGGATTCTGCCATGAAAACACTTCCTTTCGATTCATTTTCCCACGATTTTGTATTGCCATCCTACCCTTGTTGGACACCTGAAAAATGGAACGGTCTGTAGTGGGATGTTCACCAAACATGTTAGTTTAGTTTTGACATGTTTTGACTCTACACCACGGCCAAAGTAATTCAACTCAAAGGAGGCATTTGAAAATTTCTGTGACCACGACCCCACAAGAGGGTCATGACCCCACAAGCGGGCCGCGACATGGGTTTAGGTCAAATTCCAGGGCAGACGTCACCTGGGTTTTGACCCATATCTAAACCATTGAGCATAACCCCTGGCTGCTCACGCTGCCCAGTTTTCAATTGCCAGGGCAGTCGAAAAGCCGCGACCTTTGTATTTAGTGTCATTCGCAATATGAAGCATCTCCAAGCCTGTCCAACACTGAGTATTTTTTTTATGGTTTGCAGAAACGGGAGGAGACAGACAGGGAGGAGTCAGGATGATGGAGGCTTGCAGGTCGTGCGTGCCCCGTACGAAGGAGTCTTGTGAGAGCTCAAGGAGCGACCTAGAGGGACAGCAGGCATAGGGTTCTTGTGGATCATGACTACAGCCGAATTCGGATTCTTCTTGCTCCTAGTAGCGATACAGGAGCAGCGTCCTTGCTCCTAGTAGCGATGCCAGGAGCCCCTAGTAGCTTCTTGTTCCTAGTAGTAAGGCCAGGAGCCCCAGTAGCGTCCTTGCTCCTAGATCTCCTAGTGATACGAATTCGGCATTCCCCCGTATTGAATCCGCATGATGCCAAAAAGGCGTCAAACTCGTGTTCTGCAGCTCGAAGCTCAAGGAGGTGCGAAGGCCTTGAGCGTCAACACTCGTGGCCTCATGTCGCCGAAATCAGAAGCTGACTCAACCGATGAAGGCCCAATTCGTCTCACTCAGCCTTGGCAGATCAGTTTTAGGGTCGGGGGTGAGGATAGGGGCTGCAGATGCAGGTCTTGCAGCCCAAGAGTAACTTTGACCCCCTGCCCAGATCCAGGGATATATAGTCCTTTACATTCCTTTCAAATTCGAGTGCACATATGTCAGAAATTGGAAATAGCCGCTATTACCAGATATACAGTAAGTATTAAACGGTATTTTGTTTGGTGACCTTTACTCTGCCCAAAGGTGACATGATCTACAAGCTGATTTTGGAACAACTTTCACTTTCTGTACACCCAATGCTTTGGAGTTGTCGACCTTCAACCCCAAGGGGTCCGCCGAGCTGAGCAGGCCCGATGGTCCCCAGCTTCGAGGTAGAGGAGGGCACTCCCCGAGACTCTGACACGGCGCCGGAGGTGCAGGAGGCCGGCGGGTTGCACCGGATGGGGATACGAAGTCGCGCCATCGCGCCATCGCGATTGGGAAGCTCTTTTCCAGGGTGTTTGGAGAGGACTGCACTTAATTAAGGGAGTTCGTTTTCAAGGTGTTCTTAAACATCAGATTGCTCAGTAGACTTGTTTGTATAGTACAGGCATCAACTTCGGAGCTTCATGTGATGGACGAGAGATCGTCGACTGATGCTTCAAGTTGTTGAATTTTGGTGTGTAAATGTATACAGTACAGTGGTTTCAGATTAGATGGCACTGGCACCCCCACATGTCTTAGACAGATGGGGGTCCATATAAACCACCGAACTTGTGCCATCCACTGTACATGGATCATCATGGATCCACTTGTCCTTGCTGTTTCTTCTTGACGACGGGTGTTTGACAGCGATTTCTCGGTCCCAAAGTCAGAGACGAACACGTTCCCGTTAGCAAACCATTGAACCGCAGTACCCCAGCTAGAACCTTCCAACGATTCCTCAGCAAAGGATTCCGGTGCAGGAAACAGGGCAATGGTCCGTTCCAAAAAGACCAAGAATCATGAACCACCAAGAAACATCTGAAGGTTTCCTGGAAACCACCCTTAGGAGGGATCCACAGGTTGAACATCCGGCAGACTGAGCCCCACAGCGCCACAGCCGGCCCCAGACGGGCTTTTTTTTCCGCGCCACCACGAGTTCCCGTTCGTTGTGACGTGCTAGGACTTCGGGGAGGTGGAGAAGCCACAGCCGTCGCTCGGCACTTGCGGGTCATGATCCTTCATTGTCATGACATCCACGGGTCGATGTCCTTCTCCTTGTGGGTCGAAAGATGTCGATCCAGGAGTCCATTGGATCAATCGTCGAAGGCCTCAACGGTCAATGGATCCGTTCCAAGAGGGCCCACCAGGCTCACCGGGAGAGAGGAAAGGCCACGGCAGCCACGAGCTGGATCGAAGCCACGCGCATAAAAGCTGGTGGGCGGTGGTTTTCTTAGTTGGTCCAAACCTCCCACCGAGACCGGTTCTCACACCCAGCGGCCCAGGGTCAAAAAGGCTAAGCTAGCAGGATATTCATGTTTCATCAGTACACCTGAACTTGAAGCATCCTAATGATGTCAACTTCACGGACACCTTCAGTGTTGCACACTTGGCGGGCTGTGGGTTCATTGAGAGTCCTGGTCACCACGGTCACTGGCCCGAGGTCAAACAAGAAGTATTTGTTCAAGCTTGGCATCGCTGATGGCATGGTGCCACAAGCAGATACCGTCTACAAGCCCAGGGAAGAGAGACCAAGGCAGCACTGCACTCTGATCATTTTTGATTGGGAGACCTGGATGGAAAAATCATTTTACACGACTCACTAACATGGAAGTGGATGGCATGGTCCCTTGGTAGACCACTTTCCTTTACGAACAGGTGCTTTGCCACTTCCATGTGATGTGTTCATCGGATTTACGAACAGGTTTCTTGGCGGTTCGGACTCCGAGAAACCTGGATTTTACCTATCTTTCTGTTCGGATCTGTCTGGATGGCCCACGCCTCGTGGTGTCACGGCTGTTTTCGTCTCGGAGGCCACGTCTCGGCAGACGCCGGCCGAAAAAGGAGCACCACCGGCCAACCGGCCAACCCTTGAGGGGTTGAGGATCGACAGATTCAGAAGAGGTAGGATGCTGCCTTGATATTCTTGCTCAGGTCTTGGGCTGTTGGATCAGATCCACTGACCGTGACTGTATGTACTCTTGCAAACATGACATGTTGGCCGTGCCCTCAGCTGAGGATGATACTCTTTTGTGCACATCGGCCTTACAAAGTGGGAAGCTTGGGATGATTGATGAGCAGACGTTTATTTTTTTTTGCTGGATGTTCCGAACGGAATCAAGCGATGTTGGAAGATGAGCGGCTCCGAATGAGAAAGACGTGGAAGATTTCTCAGAAATCAGGCGAAAAGGAAATGATCACAACCGGAAGGTGGGAACCGCTTTCATTCGATGCCGGACTCTTTCTCGGTGATCGATGCCGTCCCCAAACATCGGTTTCAGGGTCAGTGATCCCCGAGAGGTTTCGTGTAGAAATGGGGCCATTGGTTGAGTACCAGGTCCTAGGTTTTTGGCAAGGGAGGTGCTCAACATGGGGCCATTTGATGCCAGTTGCGGGTTATAATCTTTTGAACGCATGAACTCAAACTTGCGTGCCCAAAAACTCTTGGCGCAAAAATTCTTCAACCCTTGAACCTGGGAAACAGATTGTGAAAGCGGTGGGATAGCGGTGGATATGATGTCCTTCAGTAGAGTCGACAAGTTACTTTTTGTTTCTCCTTCTCTTTCTACAATCCCTCATCAACGAACTACCACTGCAAGACCACTGTGAACGGTGGAATGTTCCAAACCATTTTTGTGCTGTCCGAACCCATCCAAGGAAGCCACCCAAAGATCAGGAGCTTTTAGCCTTGGAGGCGGAGGCCGTGAAGCTTTTCGAGCTCGCAAAGACCCTGGGGACGGTGATCATCATCACCAATGCGAGACCTGGTGTAGAAGAACATTCCACCTGGTGTAGAACGTTTATCGGACCAGGCAGAACTAGAACTGGGGGTTTCCCAAACCACCCAGCTGAGTTGGTGACGTTAATATGTTTTGTCAATCACCGTTTTTGGGGGCATGTCCAGATAGCCATCAGCATCGACTGCAAGCCTCTAGTGAACAGGGAAGCCTCCAACAACCATCGGTCGAACCTCCGGCGGATTCATCGGACCGGCGAAGACTGTGGTGCTGGGACCGAGGGATCCCGAGATCTCGATCTCGTGGTGTTTTCGTAAACATCGAGGGTGAACTTCAACGGAGAAAAAACACATCGTGACATATTATACACAGTATACATCAGTGTATAATAGTGTATACAGTTATATAATATACATATATATAATCATATATATATATATTATATCTATATAATATACATATATTGTAAAACTCGCTAGTTTGGATGCTGTCTCACATGCCCCGCTCGACGGTTCGAACGTCCAAAGGGCGGGAGGGAGGCTAGTCACATAGAAGAAAAGGCGAGGCGGCCTTCGGTTAGTAGGAACAGGGTTTCCTTAGATCCTAGGGTAGAGATCAACATTGGTAGCGGAGCCTCCGCAAGGAGGCATAGGTCCTTTTTTGGTTGGGGAATTCACCTAGGGTAGGTTCACGTGTGCATTTGGTCGAATTTGAAAGTTTTGTTGCACGACATTTTACCCGCGACTGTGAACTGCCATGGCCGGGGCATCCGGGACCGCGGAAGGCGGCCCTGAAGAGAGATCAGGACACATTTGGAGCATCCTTCCAACCTTTGATCCTTCGATTGAAAATCCCAAGGAGTACTCGGACAAGATTCGATTTCTGCATTCAATATGTCCTGCAGAGGACAAACCGATGCTCGCACCCAGACTTGCCCTCCTGATGAAGGGAACAGCCTGGGCACAAGTCAAGAATCTTGACGGTTCGAAGCTGTCGGATCCAGACGGTGGAGTCAAGCTGCTGCTCAGTGCGGTATCCTCATGGGAGGAATCGGCGGAACTACAAACTTACGAAAAGTTTGAACGGGCGCTGTATCGGGTGGTGCAGAAACCTGATGAAAGTGTGTTCTCCTACGTCAATCGGATGAATGTGGCATTCAACGAGATTGCCAATGTCACGTTGCAGGAAGTCCAGGCGTTCATCATGCTCCGTCAGAGTGTCTTGAATGGGGAAGATAAAAAACGGGTGTTGTCGATGACCGGAGGGGAACTCAAGGCCAAGAAAGTTGAAGCTTCGATGCGACAATTGGCCCCGAAGATCCTGGTCGGCAACGCCGGAAGTGAAGGCAAGAAGAAGGTTTACCCGGTGAACCTGATGGAAGATGATGATGACCCCAATGCACCGACCTTTGTGACCGAGGAAGACTATGTGCCGGACGAGGAGACGGTGCTCCAGGCGCTCATCGAGAATGGTGATGAAGATGCCTTGATGGTGTCAGAGTTCGAGGATCAGTTGATCGAAGCATGCCAGGACAATGCCGACCTGAGCATGTGTTTCTCGGCCTATACCGAAGCTCGTGGCAGAATTCGTGACAAAATTCGAGCTCCAGGATTCTGGCCTCCCATCAAAGGAAAAGGGAAAAAGGGTGCGAAGAAGGGAACTTGGACTTGGAAAGGAGGTTTGAAGAAGAGACAGTCCTTGGCCGACAGGATTGCCAATTCTCACTGTCGATTGTGTGGTGCCCGTGGCCATTGGCGACAAGAGTGCCCCAACAAAGGTTCAGTGTCAGGACCCAATGCCAATGCGGCGGAGATCCATGTCTCGACCCAGGATGGAATGAACACTGATCCCGAGAACCAGGAGATTTTTGAGAGACTCCCCATTTCACTTGAGCAAGGACTACCAAATTGGTGGCCCATGACCAACTCCCGGATGACGATTCAGGAAATGGAGAATGAGATGCGCCAGAATGCCACACCTGGCGAGGACGTGCTCTCGGATGTGATGAACAGCCAGGTGGGAGAAGAAAGTCCTCCCTCCCAAAATTTTGGGGATTCGAACAGTGAAACCCGTGTTAATGAAGAATTCATTTTTATGCTGCTCTCATCTTAGACCAAGTGAAACAGAAACTCTCGCGGGGTTTGAGAGGTCATGTGTTTGAGAAACGCCTCAGGTGTGACTCCCCTTTTGAGCCGGTCTTTTTTGTTGATCATGGAAGTGTTGCCATTTTGGACACAGGAGCAAGTAAATCCGTGATTGGAAAAAAGAGGTTAGAGCAGCTCATGCACAGTTTGCCGGACGAGTTTAGGAACAAGATCTTTTGGCAGAAGTCAGAGACAGTGTTTCGTTTGGAAACGAGCTTAGGTGCTGTGTTTTCTCCGTTCGGACGTCAGTGGTTGAAGATCGAAGTTGTTGATGGTACGACCCCCTTCTTGCTATCGAACGCATTTCTGAAAGCAGTGACAGCCGATATCTGCACATCGAAGCGGTTGTTGAGCATGTTTCAAGGAAAGGTCAGTGTTCCTTTAGAGGTGAGTGATAAGGGTTTGTTTCTTGTGGATTTGACTGAGATTTTGAAACATGCCCAGAAGAATCTGATGCACGGAGATACATGGGAGGTCGTCACCAATTTGACTGACGAAAGAACGGTAACTAGAGAAGAAAAGAAAGAGAAAACAACTGACACATCCACGGCACCGGCAGCAACCCAAGCATCGAGCACAGTCGAATCGATATCCCGCAGTACAAAACCTCATGGCGCCCAAGAAGGTGAACCCAGCCTATGTGGCCACATCCAGTGTGGACATGCCTCTTCCATTCCAGGAAGACCACACGTTGAGCATGATGCCGGAGCACGACGTGACCAACATCGTGAAGCCACCAGGCATTCAGACCCTCCGGCAATGGGGGGAAGAAGTGCTGGCAGGAGGGAAGCATGTGGGAAAGACCTTTGCCGAAGCTCGGGCCATCGACGCGAGCTATGCTCACTTCATGGTGAAGAAGGGAGACTGCACCTCAGCCTGGGCGAAGAGCTTCCACAATTACCTGAAGGCAATGGAGAATGTGACAAACAGTCATCCAGCCGATCAGAGGCCCGTCATGTCATCATCAGCAGCCGCGATGGTGAAGAAGAACTGGGCCATGAATGGAGCTATCGCAACAGACTGGGATGTGGTGGACGAATTGAGGAGTCAGCAGAGCGCGGAAGTTCCCAAGGGAATCACGTCTTTGGCAAGTGGGTCGGGAGCAAAGAGAGGACCTCCAGTCAGCAGCGATCCGTGGGCCATGCAGACCGAGATGAGCTACGAGGCCAGTCTGAGGGTGCAACAAATTCAGGCTCAGATTGCAATCTTGCAAGACGAGATGAACCGACTCGTCCCCTCAGCCGAGGAAGAAGCCTAACCAAACCAATAGAGAAGTCGAGTTATGACAGCCAGGAAACCATGACAGCACAGACCCAAGCCAGCACAGACACTCCAATGAAACATTTTTTTGAACAGGAGTTAGCTAACCTGGTACAGAAGATTGAGCATCAGTTGGCAGAACTAGCACAACACTCGGCTGATATACCGATACGACAACATGCACCACGACATTCCAGTTCGAAGAGATTGGACATCCTGGAAGTGTTTGCTATCCGGACTCTCAAATCACAAGCATAGCCAACAAAATGGGCTTGACAGCCCAACGATTCACACTACAGGATGGAGATCTCCAGACACCAGAGGGACAGGCAGCCCTTTGGAAAGTGATTGAAGACCGACATCCCAGACACATCTGGACTTCACCAGATTGCAAATACTGGGGAAACTTTGCACGTAGGAACATGGGAAGAAGCAAACAACTGAGGAAGACAATTCTGGAAGGAAGAAACCGGGAAAGAACCAACTTGAACTTGTGTGAAGAACTTTATTTGTATCAAATGCAACATGGGGAACATTTCCATCTAGAACAACCCGTAGGTTCGGAGATGCTTGCGCAACCAGAGTTAGAACAGGTCCGTTTGGGAACGCTGACAACCATCTTTGACATGTGTGAGGTAGGACGACTTAATTGGAAAGGAGAATCGTTGAGAAAGAGGACAACGATTCTGACGACCTCCCGACAAATGCATGAAAAGTTGGACTGCAGATATTGCAGCAAAGATCATGAACATAGGCAGATAGCAGGTCAGGTGAAGTCGGATGGCATCTGGATGCCTCTATCAAGCTTTGCTGCCAAATACACTGCAGGCTTTGCTCGAAATGTCCTCGACGTTGTACAGAAGCATCCCAAGGAGATGCCTCTCTATAGAGAGGAATTGAACATTTGTCATGACGGTATGGAAGTAGATCCTGTGTTGATTGGTGAAGTGTTGAAACGACGTCGACTGTTTGCAAAACAGACTCAGTCTACCGAAGACCAACCCACCCAAGAAGAGGAAGTGAAACGAAAGGAAAACCGTCAAAATAGGTTACGGGGTTTGTTTGAAGAAATTGAGAAGTTGGCACCCCGTGTTGGCACCGTGGTTCTTCCGCCAGAGTCAGACGTGTTCCGACAGGCCAAAGAATTTTGTGAATTCCGTTTGAGGCATGCTGAAATCTGTAGGGGAACGGAGCGACTTAGGACACCACAGCCTTCAACACCTTTGGACGAATTAGAATTTCGGAAAACCCTTTCGGTGTGCAGGAAGTCAGGTGAAATAGAACAGGTTGGTGGGGTTGAACGATGGAAGACGTTGTCTCAAAGACAGAAGATCAGAAAGGGAATCCCGGCAAAATTGACTCTGACTTTGTTTGGAAATCGACCTGAGGACCCTTCGGACAAACAAACAATAGAAGACACGAAACCATCGAGACTCGGAGGTCGCAAGAGACAGAGCATGCAGGAGACCAACGAGCAAAACAAACGTTTTTGTGAAACACTAGACAATGGACAGGACCAGGGAGGACCGACAGTACCTGGAAGTGAATCTGAAACTCTAGGGAAGGACTTGGAGGACGATTACATTGAAGGAAAACCTCCCCGAAATTTGGCACGACATGGACCAGGATTCTTGAGTTTGGAAAAGGATCAACAGAAGTGGTTACGACAAGTGCACCATCGGCTTGGACATCCGGACGCGGAAACGCTCGTCAGATACCTTCGATCAACCGAAGCCGAGCCTGCTGTGTTGGACGGAGCGAGGGATTATCAGTGCGACGCATGTCTCGAAGCCAGGAAGGGTTTCGATTTACCACAAGCAGGGGCCATCCACGAAGACATTGGGTTTAACCATACGTTGGGCATTGACGGCGTGACCTGGACCAACGCAAATGGAACCAACTTTGAGTTCACCCATGTGATAGATGAGGGTACATTGTTTCATGTGGCAAGACCATGTGGAAGTGATTCAACATCACAATGGACATTTTTGGAGGAATTTTGGTTCTCATGGGCTGGATACCCCAAAGTGCTTTACGTAGACCCAGCACGGGGATATCTCAGTGAACAATGGATGGACAGGACACAGGAAGTCGGGATTTCACTGGTGGTTTCGGCTCGCGACTCGCATTGGCAGCTTGGAAGAGTAGAGGCACATGGTGAAGTTTTGAAAGGAATGCTCTCTAGAATGGATGCGGAAAAACCCATCAATGATGCTGAAACGTTTAGGAAGGCATTGAACCAAGCATGTTTTGCAAAGAACACACTCATGAGAAAGTCGGGTTATTCCCCTGAACAGGCAGTTTTGGGAAGGTCTTCACGTTTGCCAGGTTCGGTACTATCTGCTGATGATTCTATCACACACGCGAAGGTGTTAGATGAGGGGCAAAACGTGTTCAAAGAAACCCTAGACATGAGAGAGTCGGCTCGAAAGGCGTTCATACACATGGATAATTCCAACAGCCTTCGTCGGGTTATGCTTCGTCGCAGTCGTCCGGTTCGTGCGGATTTCGAGGTCGGTGACCTAGTGTTGTATTGGAAACGTAAAGGAGGGAATATGCGTCGAGAAAGGGGACAGTGGTTTGGTCCTGCTAGGGTGGTACTGGTTGAAGGGAAAAGAGTCATTTGGCTAGTTCACGCGCATCGACTCGTTAGGGCAAGCCCGCAGCAGCTTCGTGCTGCATCAATGCGTGAATGGAAGGGGATCAAAGACAAAGAGGAGTTCAAGGTTCCCCCAAAGGATTGGGCAAGAAAGATTGGACATCAAGATTTTTTTGATTTGGATCCTGATGACCTTCCAGACCTGGACAACCAAGAATACACACCCAGTGAAAACTCCGGGGGGGCGGAGGCCTCAGGTGAACAGATTGTGACAGAACCGGAGGAAGAAGTAGCAGTTCCATCTCACAGGGGATCGATGGATGAAGGTGAAAACATACCCATGGACGGCGTAGAAGTTCCCATCCCTGATGACCCAGATGATAAATTGTTTGGTGACACAATACTTTTCCAACAGCACTTCTGCCAAGAGTATATGTGGGAGATGGACATCACTCCCGCGTTTTGTGTAGAACCTGAGCTTTTTGAAACGCCCGACGATTACATCCTAGCCGCAGTGAATGAACGAAAGAAGAAAACTGAAGTTAGATTGAAAGAACTGTCGCAGGAGGATCAGAAGCGTTTCGCTGTGGCAAAGCACAAGGAATTGCGGGCATGGCTCCAGCACAAGACAACCTCAGGGGGTGAACCACCAGAAGATATCTCCACGGAAGGGAAGAAAGCAAAGGCTAGGTTGATAGTGATTGGTTGGGAGGACCCGGAGTTGGACAGTGTGGTTAATGATGCTCCCACCCTCACAAAAGATGGTCGAATGGTGGTCCTTCAGGGTGTGGCAAGCCACAACTGGCCGTTGATTTCGTTTGATGTTTCAACCGCCTTTTTACATGGAAAGGGGGATGGACGTCCCTTGGGACTCGTCCCTGTTCCAGAAATGCGTGACGCCCTGGGAATGAGTGACACAGACCAAGTGCAACTCGATGGAGGCGCCTACGGCCGCATCGATGCACCATTTTTATGGTTCTGTGAGTTTCGAGACGAGCTCCTAGCACAAGGATGTCGACAGTCACCGCTGGATCCTTGTGTGTTCACCTACCACTCCCAAGATGGCTTCGAGGGCTGTCTTGGCATCCATGTGGATGATGGGATAGGTGGTGGTAGCGAGAAGTTTATGAAGATGTTGACAAGAGTGGAGGCTCGTTCAAATTTGGAGCTTTTGACAAAGGTGAATTCACCTACACCGGAATCAGATTTCGACAACGGGATGACTTCTCCATTGAGTACGACCAGATTGAATACATTGAAAAGATAAAACCCATTGTACTCGGAAGGGGTAGGAAAGACGACCTGGAGGCATTGGTGACTGAGGATGAACGAACGTCCTATCGTAGTCTGATCAGTGCGCTCCAATATGCAGCAGTTCACAGCCGACCGGATCTTGCAGCGAAGATAGGTGAATTGCAGAGTGAGGTCACCAGGGCAAAAGTGAAGCATCTTGTTTTGGGCAACAAAGTGTTAGCTGAAGCAAAGCAGAATTGGGTTTCGTTGATGGTTTTACCCATTGCCCCAACTCATGTGACCTATTGTGCATTCTCTGATGCCTCATTCTCCTGTACCAAACACACCACCGCACAACAAAGGACCATTATTTTTGCCACGACTCCAGAGTTGTTAGATAACCAGAAGGCAGTGGTGGCTCCGGTGGCTTGGTACAGCAAGAAGATTCCAAGGGTAGTGCGTAGCACATTAGGTGCTGAAGCCGCCGCTTTGAGCAACTCAGCCGATCGCTTGATGTGGATTCGTGTGTTCTGGAAGACTTTGATTGAACCCGAATGTGATTGGAGGAACCCTGAGAAATTGCTTTCTGAAGGAAATTTGGGGGGATTGGTGACGGATTGCAAGTCCGCATATGACTTGTTGACACGGACCGCCGTACCACAATGCTCTGAACATCGGACCACGATCGAGTGTTTGCTGATAAGAGAACGATTGCGAAACAACGCAGTAGTTCGATGGATAAATTCCCAGGCAATGCTCGCAGATTGTCTCACAAAGACAATGGACAGCTGTGTTTTACGTGAGTGTTTACGAACTGGCAGGTATACTCTTCGTGATGAGGAATTTTTGCTGAAAGAAAGACTGTCTGCTCGAGAAAGGCTGAAGTGGATGAAACAACACCGACAAGAAAAAGACAACAAAGGCTTCGAAGATGCCATGTTGGTGAAACAGTCCGGCACTGTACAGCATGATTGCGATTTTTGGAGAAGGGGACCCGAAGGAGAGGTGATCCGTGTGCATGTTGTTCCAAGATATCAGCTCTATACACCCGTGGGGTCAGAAGACTGTCCTGTAGATCTTAGGGGACTTGAGATGTACCGGGATACTTTGCTGAAAGGGGGAGGTGTTGAAAGGGATTATTGGACAGGAACGACGGCACACAAACGGAAACCCTTTCCTTGGTGTGGTGAGACAGTTTTTCGAATAAAAGAAAATTTTGACGAGTGTAAAACTCGCTAGTTTGGATGCTGTCTCACATGCCCCGCTCGACGGTTCGAACGTCCAAAGGGCGGGAGGGAGGCTAGTCACATAGAAGAAAAGGCGAGGCGGCCTTCGGTTAGTAGGAACAGGGTTTCCTTAGATCCTAGGGTAGAGATCAACAATATATAATCACCACTATACATACATATATACTATATATATACTCACACTTATATACGTATATTATTGGATGGTCGGCCAGTGTGGTGCAAGTGGTGGACCCATGACGAGTTTCATGTGCAAGCCTTCTCCAGATCCGGCCAACACTAAACTCCTCACTTTATATACTGTTTGCTTTCTTTCGATGTTGGTCAATGTTGGTCAAGGGTTTTTGGTGGTTAGGAGCCAGACCTGCGTTGACCTGGGTAGAAGAGCCAGACGCGATGTCATTTTGGCACTAAGGATAAATGGTTGGGTGGAGCACAGTTGTGCCAAGCATATGCCAACACTGGCGAAGCATTTGGAGAACGTGGAAATCATCAGCGCAAGGGCGAAGTATGAGGAGCGTTTCCCAGATGATCCAACGCAGTGGAAGGCAGCACATCTGCTGGAAAGACCATCCAGCACCCCAGTAGAGCGTGACAAGTGTAGACCATTACCAGGTGAAATCTAGGGCGTTTGGCCAAGTTGCTTCTTCAAAGGCCTGATAAACTACTTGTTCCAGAGGAGCGTCCAATTTGAGATGGTTTGCTTTCTCAGTCACTTGGTGTCACATGTCAAAACTTACACCCACAAAAAAAGGACACAGAAAAAAGTAAAATGGTCTGTTGTCCACCTACACTCCCTGGAACTAACATGGAAGTGGAAAACTGTCCCTGGAAGGCTATTGTCCCCTGCAAACAGGGGGTTTTCACTCCACTTCCATGTTGGTTCCAGTCGGAGAGTAACTCTGTTATCCGCCTAACTGCAGGTGGAAGCCTTTTGCGAGGTGAAGGAGAACAGTCAAACCATCGCCAACCTCGTGGCGTTGGGCGATTCCACCGCGGAGATGGCTGCGCTCCATGCGATGGCCAAACTCTATCACATTTCCTACACAAAGACCATCAAGTTCAAGGCCGCCAATCTCGGGTTACCGGCTTGGGGTCTAGGGCAGTAGTTGAGTTTGTACAATATGTTTTTGCAACTTGCGGTGGCTTTTTGGGATGGCAAGAATGGTTGAGCTACTCGCAAAGCCCCAATCCATGCTGAGCCAACGATGTTGGTCATCAAGATTGATGCATCTCTCTCCCTCTCTCTCTCTCTATATATATATATATCTACACACACATATTATGCCTACATGAAACATGTAAGATAGATCGGGAGGAGAAATCAGCACAACAGGCTCAACATGTGTGCTGTCCAGCTGACCAAGACCTTTCTGCGAGCCTCTAGTGGTGGTGACATCTACATTTGGGAGCCTTTGTTTGTTGGATGTGTTTTTCCGCATCAAAAAGGCCAGGTGGCGTGGTGCCATGCGGATCATACAGGGGTTAGATTCGGTTGTATAGATGGGTTCGAGACGGCTGAGGCGCGGCCTCGTTGTGTGGAACTGCAGCAAGAGCTTTGCTTGGTTGAAAAGAAACTGGCAACGATTGTATCTGCAGTGAGGAACTATGACATTCGATTGCAACAGAAACATTGACTATCATTGACTCAGTCAGTCATCGGCTGACCTTTGTGTCAGAGGTGTAGCTTGTACAGAGGGAATGAGTCATGTACAGATACTGTGGGGATCTTCCCACTGAAAGAATGGGGTAGTTGCCCCTGTCAGCGTGATCGCGGAGCACACATCTCTTTGCGCGCTGAGAGAGGCAAGTCAGCTGTAGGTGGGATAGCCTGCAAAAACTCACGGCTTGTTGCCTCGTCAAGCGATCCGGGTGGTTTCTTTTTCCAACGAATCCGTCTCACCACTAGATCAGCCCGGAGTGTAGAATTCTGTGCGAAGGGAGGCGCAAAAGTGTGACATTCCCGTGTCCGCAGGGATGCGCATCGATTGGGGCCACACTGTTATTTTGAACAGAACTGTACATGAGGGATTGTCCAGATTGCTGGGGCGATCCGTATTGTTGATTGGGGAATATTGGGGATATGAGGACGTCACGAACTCTCAGAGGGGACCTTCGGGGACGTTCCTTCTGAATGAAGAGGCACTCCGTGATTGTTTGGTTTGCACAGCTTCCTCTTTGGCCACAATGTCATTTGTTTTAACTCAGTCCATTTGAAGGGGATGCACCTCTGATTGCTTGAGGGCTCAAGATCTCTGTCTACAAAAAGAGTATACAACACACTACAGGCCCCATTTTCTCAGTGCTTTCCTCATTTTTGGTGTATTTTGCAACTTTGAACATTAAAATATAAAGGGGGGCTGCGGTGTCCGCGTTGGTGCCGACGTACTCTCATGGACTTGCCAGGCTTGGGAATAGCTTTACCGCCTGAGGAAGACCGGCGAACACGTCCGCCAGGGGAAAAAAACCTGTCGCAGCGCGTTCGGAGTTTGGAGTCGCTGATCCGGGGGCTTCTCATGGCGACGAATGCTGAGTGCTGAACGCGACGAGTCGCTTGGGACAACGTCGGGGTTCGGACAGAAGACGATGCTATAGTTGGATTATGATTCTATATGTTTAAGCTTCATGCGGCGGGATGAGACCATCACCATCGAAGCGAAGAACACGAAGTCCTTGTTTGCCATTGATACTTGCATGGGTCCCAGTTAGACATTTAGTCCTTGATTTGGATGGGATATGAGTCTGAGATGAGCCACGGCTCCCATGTGCTGTATGTACTCCCCGTCTCGCTATTTTTTCGAAGCGTGCGAGCTGGTGAGCTGACAAGTCGACACCGTCGACACCTGCGCCAGTTCCACAGACAGGGAAACCAACCTTTTTTCAGTGCATGGAAGTGATTCTTCACACTCTTCAATTTGGAGACGAACCGAAAAAACCCAACATATGAAACATATGTCAAAATCGATCCTTTTGCCATGTTTTGACCAGCCAGTCATGGGACTTGCCATGGCCATGGCCCCTTAATGTCTGTTGATTTCAGAACCCCCGCTATCTGAAGAGGCTACAAACAATCCAATTGGAGGCTACCTCCATTCATCCACCGTCTACCTCCATCTCTTTCGTTCACGAGAAAAAAGGGCCGATGAACCGCAAAGAACCATGCGCTGCTCCACGGGAGGCTGGACGCGCTCGGACGATCCGCCAGGACGATCCCGACCTGATCATCGGCGCCCGCAAGGGGTCGCCCCTGATCCTGGGGGAGCCTTGGTCGCACGTTTTGGGTCTTCGAACTCCTGGACTGACGGACCAAACACGAGACGAGACGCCAAAGAACGTGGTTTCGTTCGTGTGCTTTTTTCCCTGCAAGGAGGACGTCTAGGAATGAAAGGGGCATTATCATAATTACATTCTATTAGAAAGACGTTCCAAGTAGATTCATGAAATACCCCAGCGATGTTTTTTGGAATGTTGATGTTTTTGCTTGCCAGCATGTACTAGCAATCTGCACAGCTACTCCTTGGCTTTTTGAAGGGGCCGAATCAATGCGTTTCGGAACTTGGTGTTTTCCTTGTGAGGTTCTTGGACCCTGGCGAAACTCGACTGGGGCAAGGTGTCCCTCCCATGGACCCATTGGCCAAACAGCGCCAGGTCAACCCACCCAAGTGGTCGGGCAAAAAGGTATCAGACCTGGAGTCTTGTTTTCTTCCACACCCAGAAATGGACCGATTTTAAGCATGAAATCATTGGCTTTGTTAGACCCGCTTTGGTGAGTCCGGCCTGGCTCCGGCCTGGGCCTAGAAAGCCCTAGACAGGCTTTCTATGACGTTGCCAAAGCGTGAAGACATTTATATATATATAATATATATATATGTATACTTACTAAGAGCATTGCTAACCCAATATTATATAATATAGAGTTGATATGTTTTGTCTTTAAAAAGAACATATGAAGATGTAACGCCATTCTGGTGGGAGGGTGACCATTCATCAACAGTCTACATGATACGGTCGCCTCAAACACACCTCCCATTGGAGATCGGCCGCGTCCAGGTTGGACACGGCGAGCACATGCTTGCCAGTGATGCATCTGCCATCGTAGAACACACCAAGGACGTGCCCCATTTTCATAGAGGATGACCGTAGGGACGGAGCCATTTGACAAGAAGCTACTAGGTGGAGGCCGTCGCTATTAGGTTGGAGACCATCGCTCCTAGGAGCAAGGACGCTACTGGTAGCTCCTGGAGCTGCCATATATAGAATCATCCAACCCTTCGCAATGTCCACCATGCCAGGCGGTTCCAGCTCTGCTTGGCTGGATCGTTGATCGCAGCTCAGTCTTTGCCTCGATGAAGGAAACATGTTGGTGTATTGTCAACCCCAGTTGTCGAACGTCCAATCCAACAGGGTAACCTGAGCCTAGTGACAAACGACTTAGACTTCTGACGAAGCTGCCTTTATGTACTTGATTATCTTGATTCCAAGCGTAAAACATTGTTTTTACATAATTATATAGGTATATATAATATGCCAATGTGTGCCACTTGCAGGGCCACGATCCGGGAAATAGGATAATGAGGGGCCCTTCATCTCAACTGTCCTTGTAAAGCACCACCTGAAGCCTAGCAGCAGCTTTTCCCTCAAGAGTTGCTGTTGGCAAGGGGTACAGGGTACTCGCTTCCAAGACCCAGACCTTTCATATATGGAATCATGTGAATCTTGAATTTACTGTACATTTTTTTGTTTTTAACGTTCTGGGATGGTAACTATGCCAAGCTCTCTAGGCTTCCTGGCTCTCCGCCTTTCTTCGCCGAACATGTGACCTCCGGTCACGTCCCGCGGAAAAACCCATGCGATACCGCAGGACGTGGTCTACCTACGTGAAGGAGAGATCGTTGAAGTCCGGCGGTCTGGGTTCAAGGCGCAACATGTGTGAAATCTTCTGAAAGGCTTGGTGAAGGGCGTTTCGGCCCCCTTAGCTGGAACAGGAGCTTCTGCGGGACAGATTCCATGTGTAGTGGCGGCTGTAGTGGCTGGTCATCCACACGATGGGCCGCTGGGCCTCCAGATGATTCAACCAGGTCCCTTGACTCTTGACCTGGTGAAGCCTGGTGGGTGATAGGACATGGCCCGGGGAGAGGGACATCAGTCGATTCGACTCGTGGACGCTCCGAGTCGCTCCGAGTCTGGGAACCCCAATCGATGTTCCACGAGGTGATCGTGGCATGCGAGACGCCGAGACGCTGGAAGAACTCTTGTGACTTTCGGTTCTTCCAGTTTTGGTGGCTTTCGTGCCCTGTTGAGTTCAAGGTCAATGACCGAATCCAACTTCCTGTTTTCAGACATGTAAGTTACAAAGGCAAGATTTGGTGTGAAAATCCCATTGAACACGGATCCGACATGAAACACGGATCGCACTGCGGACGAGTCGACGAGTCGGCAGGTGCATGACCTGGAGAAGGTCGTGAGGAAGTTGGGGAAGAACACCATAAGCCCACGACCAGATGATGTGGCCTGCAATCAGATAGAGGAGTGGAGAGGAGATGAGAGGGGTGCAGTGGGATCAGAGCGAAGTGGGCATTGGTTGTTTAGGAGCGATCGGTTGAACAAATGTATACAGTGCAGTACCATACAGTCCCGAGAAGCCTTTAAGGGAATCCTTTTTTGACAAGAGCCTCTTTAGATGTACTGCATAAGACTGTATATATAAAATATAATATAGTTTTAATGTGTGTTCTACATATCTCATGAACAGGACGTCCTTTTCTTCGGGGGACCACTCCAGCGACCCCTTCCGTGAAGCCGGCCGGGCCGTCGGTGAGGTGGAAAACCCCATCGTGAGGCTGGAGCTGTCGCATGGAACTGAGATCTGGTGAGAGGAAGAGGGAACAGCATGTCGCCAGCATCATGCCAACATGATCTTCACACTCAGCACTCAAGACTTGGTCCTTTTTGAGGAGCTGCATCAGCTTCTGAAAGAAAGAAGCATTTGATTCGAGTGGATTTGGTAGTCGACCCATTCCAAAACAATCCACCGGTTTGCATTGACAGACCCGTCAGAGGTCCGGGTCGGTTGAGTAGGTCCTGGCCGTGGAGTCAATCAAAGGCTCGAGCAAATTGAGAAGGGTGGCTACAAGCACTTCATGCTGAAAGAGATCATGGTGCCTCTCCACGAGTGTTGTTGGACTCACAACGATGCCTGGAGTTCTGTCACGAGCTTTTGTTGCGCGAAAGCAAACAGATCTTTTTTCTTTTTGGTCGATGTGTGCTTTTTTGGGCAACTCCGATCTGTGTGGACATGTCAACAACTGTTGCTGGCCGAAATCCCACAACACCCCAGTTAGGCCACGTTCATCAGAGCTTTTTCCTCAACTAACTGTGGGCTTGGATCGCCAGGACCAGCCCAACGCCATGCGGAACTGCCTCCGTGGCCGGATCTACCAACCAGCGGAGATCCGGGGGGTGAGGATGGGGGTGTTGTCGAGATGTTCGATGCCTTTGCCTCCCCTGGAAATGCGAAAGCACCAGCCGGAGCATAACACTCCCAGAAGGGCCCCTAGGCACGAAGGTGCTTAAACTCCAACCCCCTCCAGGTGCAACTCCAAACTCGTGTGCATTTCGTCGCTAAACTCCTGGTCCCCAACCAGCAACTCTCAGTATTTTGGGGGCGCATTTCGTGTCTCGGGTGGCTGCGAGGAAGCACCCGACCGCTGGGAGATCAAGCTTGGAGGCTTGGAGAAGGCGCGGTAGAGCCCATGTGACGGCGAATGTTAGGAAACACGCAATGTAGACCTCACAAACTCACCTGATCAGCCTGGTCATGTCATACGTTAAAGGAGATTGGGGTTTTATTGACTCGTTTGAAATGAGAATCTCAGCAGGGTTTCCTAATAGAACAACTTGCCTCAATCGGTTCGATGCTTCTGAGCGACAGGCCAAAGAGGGCGCCCTCAATCCTCAGAGCCCACTGGCCGCTGGCCGCAGACCAGCGGGGGTGGAAAAACGTTGAAATTTGGCGTTGGAGCTCTGAGGGTATGATTCTGTGTGGGCAGAAACTGGAAATTCAGGCTGGAGCCCGTTTTTTGGTCCTGTATAGCTGCTATGTTTGGGTTCATGGTATGCCTTTCTGGCCATACAGCGAGAACAATATGATTTCCAAGACATTTGGGCAAGAGTAGGAGGAATGGAACACCCAGGCGGGAAGGACAGAGCCGCTAAACATCGCGAAGCATGATATGACCAACCTGTTATTTGTTTGTATTTTTTCGTTGATTGATGCATGCTTATATCCAGTGAATTACCCATTCCGGCCATTCCAACTATAGGAAGCCAGTGCTCCAGCTTTGGAGCAATGAGCATTTTGCAGCTTTGTTTGTTGACATGTCAGGCTGCTGCCAACAAACGTGTGCCTTGTGGGTGCAGGGATAGGGGAGGTAGTGACCCAAGCAAGACTAGGCACATATGCATATATGATGAATTAATAGATGCTTTGAGTACCCACGATGATCAAGAGCATACATTGATCAACATCCTTCCATTACTCAGAGGGCACTTGAGGACTTGGATCACTTTTTTTGACCTTTCAGTGAAGAGCTCAGGCAGCCACACAGCAATCCTGCAACTATATAGTGGGGCCAGTTTACTGTGTCCACCGTGTGTTCTTTACTTCTACTTCCACGACTATATCAGTCTTTTTTTGGCTATATCCCCTGCAAATACCGCCTCAATTCAGTTGAACAGCACACTGGACTCAGGAGAGGATGGCAAATGCCTGCAGATTTATTTTCGCGGCGTGTGGTACCTCCTGGCATTCGGGCCTCATTGGCAAGTATGCGATGGCCTGAGTCATCTCTCTTGAACAGACTGGTTGAGGAAAGACACTGGAAAACCACGCTTTCTGAGGAGAACTGGAGAACCTCTATATTCGGACATGGAGAACCTCTATATCTGTTACAGTATATGTGTTTGTTCTCTTGAGTGCAGAATTTCTTCCATCACGAAAAGCAAGTGAGGTAACAGTTCTGGCCTCCAAGTGTCTACTGCGCTCTTCATGTGTTTTGTATACTGTAGTTGCCAGAGAACACCTGTGTAAGCCAGAAGGCATTCTACCACCTGTGTAGTCCGTGGCCACATCCACACTTGGAGGTGCTCACGAACTCTGCGAGCGACTTCATGTGTTCCAACGAAACCTTGAGAGATTGGAAAATCTGACCGGCTTCGCTTCGTCGTAGCGGTTTTGACAGTGCAATTTGAGAATGCACGATTCGAAGGATTTGGGAAAAAACAATAGTTGGGCACCTGCATGGGCAATCGGCTTCTTGAGCCTTCTCGGAATTTCATGCTCAATCCAGGACCCCTGGGTCTCCCCCTTGTTCGACTGGACGGGAGCCGTCGGGAAGAGGGATTTTCCAGCCGCTAGCAGCGGCGTGTGAGGCTTTCGAGAAACTTGCTGGAGTGAGAGCAGAAGTGGAGTATGTCCGGTCCTTAGCAAGTCTCTGGAGTATGTCTGCGGACATATTCAAAAGCGGACATTTGTTTCCTCTCCCCTGCATCTCTGTTTGATCTGTTTTGTGTCTCTACGCCTCTTCACCCAGTAATAGCAGGAGAATCCCTTTGGCTGATCAAATGGACTAGCTATATATATATAATTATATATATATGCACTACACCAATTGTACTGTTTCATGTTTTTCATACTCTTTAAATCGTTTTCCCTCACACCGGACGTCTCACCGGTGCGGAACCGATCCGATCGTGTGGGAGATTTTTCGTGTCCGTTTTGGACGTTCGCCTCGCTGTTGCGTTCTGCTCGTATGCCAACAGGAGCCGGACATCAAGCTGCCTCCTTGTTTTTCCGTCGAAGAAATGACACGTCAAAGCCGCCGGTGTTGGTCCATAGATGTGGGAAGACCCTGATCCCTCGCGCTCCAAACGCTCTGAATCTCCCACCTCTCCAACTTGAGAGGTTGATGCAACACTCCTCACGAAAGGTAAACACAGTCGTAAAGGATCCACCAAAGACTTCACGAACTTCTCATGTCTTGCGCAAGCTTTGAGAGCTTGCGAAGTCAGTGCTCAGCTTGCGAACGTGTTGATTCTGCGCCGAATCCTGCGCGCGCGGCGTGAAAGTCCCAACGCCAAACTTGCGAAAGGAACTTGCAAAAGAACGAGCCCAGAAAAGGAAACCTTTCGCATCGCCTTCGGACCGTGAGGCCAGCGAGTTCAGATATCGCAAGCCCTTGATCTGCCCGGAGCCGCAGCCCAAAACTGACCCCAAACGCTCCGGAGGTACGGCGGTTGATAGCCCCCGATACGGCGGGCGAAGGGTGGAAGATTGGCATGGTCACACCGCAGGGTCGCAGGGTCCGGATGTTGCAATGGGACCGCTCTGCTTTTGACGTCATGGGTGGCCGCATCTATGTTCAAAGCATCCATGGCCATGGTGACTTTGTTTCTGACCCATGGACCATGCTAAGAGGTTTTGCCGAAGCCGAAAAGGCTTCGGGAGACAGGCCATTCGCTGAAGGGATCGCGGACTTTCCAGATTCCAGGCCGAAACAGAAGCCGTGATTGTTTCACCGAAAACAATCCATTTGTATATAAAGCCGGTAAAGCTGAAACGTAGTTTATTCCTGACTCTTGACATGAGTATCTACAGGGCAGCTGCAGCTCAAACGTATTGTCAATACCAGCAGCGGCACAGCCATATTGCAGGCCAGCACATGAACAACTCCAAACACAGGCACTCGAAGAATCTTAAAGATATACCATGCAGTAAGAACAAACACACGTAAACACCATTGGTTCGGGGTGGGTTTTGGTCCGGCAGACCCAAATGTGTCAGACGTTTATTGTGCGGACAGGTTTGTTTAACATGTATCAGATGGAAAGACTGTATTATATATAGATTTATATATAGTGTATTATTGGTTTTGGATGATTTTGGGGAAGGATGGGTAAGGTGTAGAATGCACTGTGTTCTTTTCTTTTTTGCAAAGTTCTTTGACAGCTGAGACGAACGAGCACTGAATCCCCCATGGGGAGAATGGAGCCATGACCTTCGGAGGCGTCGTGGAGCCCTGCACGACCGACACGACGCCCAGTCGGGCTGCCGGGTGGTTCGGTCCCCACCGCGCGGGGGACTGGCCCAGGTGACTCGGACTGTCTCATTGCAATCTCCCAAAGTGGGGAGACAGCAGATACCTTGGAGGCCTGGAAAAGCGACAGAGAGTTTTCAGTCTTACCATCACCCTTCTGTGCCCGAGTCTCTTGCGTTCGCACCACACCAATCCTTTGGTGACTTTATCCCCAAGCATGAAAGGCGTCCTCAAGGCAGTGCCTGGGCAAGCCCTTTGGCCCGTTGGATTGGAATCAAGCAGCTAGGGGTCTCTTTTGGACCACTCTTTTGACCACATGTTCTTAGCTCTCACAGACGTGGCATCAAACCATGTCTGAGTTGCAGTTCTGTCTGGTGACTTGCTCGACATCTTCCGAGCTGAGCTGTTCTTTCAGGGTCGTTTCTTTCACGTTTTTGGGCATCAAACCACCCTGCCTTCATGGTCGAACAGCAACGAATCACCATGCCAGGCCATTAAGATGGCCAAGGAGCATAAAGCGGCGGCGCCTAGCATCGCGAGCGTCGGCGTCTGACCGGATGTGGAGCGTTTGGTCCAGCCATGTTCCACCCCGGAAGCAGCCACAGAATCCGCAATCCAATACATGCAACCACATGCAAATCATGTGAAGCTTGGAAAAGTCCGTTTTTGACTTCCTAATGGGTGTGACGAGGAAGAGATCTAATGGGTCTTTTTGGGCGAAGTAGACTGTGACGGTGCAGGCGGTCGGAACTGGCTGAGCGTGAGAACATGTGGAAGACGGCGTATGTGGCTTTTTCAGGTTCATCGTTTGACCCGAAAGCGGAACTGCCACAGGCCTTGACCATTGGTGTGGTGAACGTGGTGGGTTCGAGCATTGCTCGTGAGTGCTGCTCTCGGAGTTCCACTGAAGGCGCAAAAAATCGAATCTGCGGACCGATGGGAAGCTGAGGACCGATTGCGGCATGTACCTACATGCTGGGCCGGAGATCGGAGTGGCTTCCACCAAGGCTTTCACCTGCCAGGTGGACCGGGGCGATATGGATGTGCCCGTCACACATGTGTGCAGAGTCACTCTTGGTGAAATTTTGGTGGCGATCCTGCTGATTCAGATGGTTTTTGCAGATGTACTGTGAAAGAGGAGAGAATGGAGTTGACCCGCAGGTCATAGCACTTCTCTTAATGGCACTTCGTTTGGGCAAGCAGCGTGGTGCACTCTCGGAAGAGATGCTTGGGCCTTGAAGGATCCGTCCAAATTGCCGCTGTTGTCTTGCCGTGCTTGTCGTGGTTGTGGTGATTGAGTCACTGAGGCTGAACATGTACTGTGCGGCCCTGAACGCCGTGCCGGACAGTATAGAGAAGTGGCCGGCGGCTCAGCATAGCTCAGCGTTCTTTCTTCAGATTCAGTTACACTCCCTGGAATCATCATTCAAGTGGAACATGGCCCCTTGGATAACCATTTTCCTCCACAAACAGGTACTTGTAGTTTTCCACTTCCATAATGATTCCAGGGAGTGTAAAGGCTACCGATTGGATCTCTTTGTTCAGTGACCCGAGAGCATTACGACCACTGGATGCGACGCCAGGATGTCTTCCTTGACCGAACAGACCCAGGTGATTTCGAAGCCGGAGCCTCAAGCTGGGAGCCGTTGGTCTGGACGAACAGGGTACAAACTTGCATGAACAGATACGAACAGTACCCCTTCATTCATTTTGGCTGGGTTGAGGCATGCACAGCCAGTTTGCAGGTCTTCTGAACGCGAAACAGCACCTTCCACTAGAGGTGAACTCCCAAGTTCTGTTGACCCGCCCAAAAAGAAAAGACATTGTTCTTCATGTGAGATATTACTGTAACATGTTAACATATATGTTAACAATAACAATATATATATATATATAAACTATAGGGTGAGTTGACCCCCAAGGTGCAGGCTGGAATTCCTGCACGGGACAGTTGGAACGTATTAGGACGCTCATGGACCTTGGCAAAGGAAAGAAGTCACTGTCAGTACTGCTGACCTACTTTTCACTGTCAGGAAAGCACTGTACGGTGACTGTCAGTACTGCTTCTGCTGACGTGTAGAAGAACAGTCATTGTCAGTACGACAGGACCCCAAAGGCCGCCGAAGACACGACCCACGACCCCCAGAGGGCCCGCACAAAGAACAGGAACCTCCGCTTGGCCACCAATGCGCTCTTCAGCGGCATGGGGGTCCACTTCCCGGTGGCCTTAGAGGGAGCACTCAAGCTCAAGGCGTGTGATCTGTGTGCATGAGGCCATGTCGACTAGTGGACATAGAGAGCATTGCTGCTGACCCGACCTATTTTGTGTACTACACAGGCTCAGGCTCGCCCTTCTACATTGGGCTGATGGACAGATCTTCAACACACCTGAGTACGGACAAATTGATTCCTTTTGGTTTTGACAGGTCTTTATGATATCGTACTGAATGTCAGACTCTTGTTTGGTCATCAAGATTCATTGTCATGCCGGTCATGGTACTTGGTCCTTCAAGAGGAATGCTCTCGGATTCCAATCAGTTGACTTGATATGCATTGGGTTGCCCAACAAGCATTGATTGTACTAGTACTGGGGTTAGAGACAACCCGAAGAGGGCCAAGACTTGGGAGACTAGTCTTGGCAGACTTGGGAGAAGAGCAGCTGAGCAGCTGGGCTCAATCACAACCTTCGTCATTGACCCAGACGCCCAAGGCTAGCTGTCCATGCTTTGCCATGGACATGGAGACTCAGAACATCTACAGGGTCATCGGGTCCACCTACCCCTCACAACCATCACAATAAAGAAAAAAACACAATAAATGATATCCTCCATGAATGAAGGCACTATTAAATATACTCGTAGTATTTTATTGAAGAACACATATATTTCTCCTGAAGGCTGCCCCCTGTAAGCCATTTAATCATTTATGATCAGGTATTTTTCTTTCTTACATTTTTTGTATTTGGTGGATTGGACACTAAACTAAAGACTACCTTTGGCGGTTCAGAAATTATGAGAAGAACCTCTACATCCACGCCAGGAGATTTCCTACATCCACGCCGAAGGCTTTCCAGCCTCCGAGATCAGGCGGGGCGGGGCTTCCGAGCCGAACCGCCTAGAGAGAGCTCCTAAGCCGCTTAGTGGAAGCAGTATTGAAATTAAGGTTCTAATTCAGCACTGCCCTACAGTAAACCCGAATATACACAATATATATATATATATCTAAACAATGCGTCCTCTTGAAGATGACTTGGACTCTTGAAGATGTCAATGTGTCAAGGCCTGTTCGGGTCAGATCCTGGATGGCCCAGTGTGGCAGTACTTGGTATGGTCTGAGAGCACCTCCTGCACGGTCTGCGGTCTGGGGCGGTGCTGCGGCTTAAGTGAGATGGTTGGAGTTGCAGTGTGTTTTTTTCTACCAAAGAAGTGGGAAGGCCGCGAGGATGGCCACGAATTTCTTTCCTGTCCGCGCTGCCAAAATGTTGGTCAAAGCTAAGGGGCAGACAGCACAGCTGACGAAGCTCAATGAACATCATTGGACATACTTCACCCATTGCAAGAACTCCAAATGGGTGACCCTACTTGTGGTGGTCAGGTCAGGGATTTCCTCCAGGTGTCCGATTTGGGGGATCGTCATCCTTGAAAGATTTGGCCCCCCTGTCCCTAGACGTGTTCTGCAGAGTGACGAGTGACTTATAACATTTTATATAACATCTTATAAAAGCATAAAGGGTCGGATCCAAGATAGATCCTAAACAACAAAGAACGGATGTTTACAAAGATAGAGATACGGTGTGTTCTCAAGCCGCGGATCCTCTTGAGATGAGATCGATTTCTGCATGGAACAAGCATCACGAGGCACGGAGGCATCACGCTGATCCGGAACTTTGTGCCGGTGATTTGTATAGCAATGAGGCATGGGTCTCCGGGGTCTCCGCACATTGGGCGTCTTTGTTGGGATCTTGGGGAGATCCAATTTTATTAAGGGAGGGATGCTTGGAAAGACTTTGGTAGGCAACTCTTTGATTGGTCTTTTGCACCGGAGGCATGTTTGCCTCTTCTGGTCATTGGTCATGATTCATGACGTATGCCAAAGCTGACATTCACACGAAATCGACATGACATAAATGTTTGCTGTCGATATGACCATTTGACGACCAAGCTTGGGACTGCATGGTTTTTCACACCGTTTCAATAACTCTTACAGTTTCATTGCGTGACATCAAAAAAAAGTATCCACAACTATGGCTGATTCAGCACCATATACAACCTTCTATCAGTCTCCGTCCTTTTGTGGGACACGGAATGCTGACCGTGTTTCTTTGACCGTCCGACCGTCAGCACTCCGACCCGGATCTGGTGCCATGTCGGATCCGTGGTGATCCGTCGGGGATCCGTTCAGGTCCGACCCTGCTTACGAGCAAATCAAGCAGATGGTCCGTGACTTCAGGCGCGAGCGGTCTGCGCGAGCGGTGAGTGGGGGTAGTGATGGAGCCGTTGAAAGGAGAAATTCCAGCGGTTGAACGCAGAAATAGGAGTTGCGGAAGAAATTCCAGCGGATGGTTTTCTTGAGGTGCTAGGCTTCCTTTTTGTAAGTTATTGGTAATGTTTGGCGATCCCACCTCCCATGCGCTCCACAGCAGGTGCCATGCAATAAAAAGAACCTGGCGATGAGTCCAGGTGGTTGGCCAGCCGGTCCCTGTGGATGAAAATGCCCAAGTTATTGGCGCCAGTGTTTGCAACGCTTCGGTGGCTTTTCGAAGTTTTGAGCATTTTGAACCCAGCTGAGCTTCGAAATGATCCAAGGTGGCTTTTCATGTAGCTGAATTCTAGTTTCGGATTGAAACGAAGGGACCGGGCGTCTCCGGGCATCGGTGGTGGTTGGTTTGGACGGGCATCTGGTTGGCATCTCCCGCTGATCAGGCACAAGGGTGCAGCTCTCCTGGTCCTCACGGATGATGGTAACACCGACTTTGCCGGTGTTCCTTGGCCAAAACTGTGGAAGCAATGTTCGCTACTAGGAGCAAAGGGCATCGCTACTAGGAGCGATCGGACGCTACTAGGGGCTCCTGGCCTTACTACTAGTAACAAGGACGCTACTAGTAGCAACTAAGTTGATATTTATACAGTGGATTGAGAGTAGATGAGTAGATGACAAAATCCCCCCAAAAGGTGGTTGAATGTGGAAACCATAATTATACATCTTGTGTGCACGGAAAAGGGGCAGAACACTTTCAAGCGGTGCCTCCGGAAAACACAAACACACACACACACACAAATCAACTCATCCATAGCAATCCATGCAATCCCAGGGAAGGGTGTTTGGATCTGCCACCCAGCCAAATAGCGCTACCATGTATCAAACAAGCTTTGGAGCCTTTTGGAACTATGAACTGAAGCTGGTCATGAATGAGCTGGCATATGTCCCTGTTGCAGTAGATAAGAGATTCTTTCCACTGTTGCTCTCCCCTTTCCCAACAAAGATAGGAACCGCATGCGTTCAGCTCGCTCTTGTGTGGCCTGTGGCTTCTGCAGACCTCCCCATGGTTCAGGTATCGCCATAGAGATGTGACATGACGTGACCCATTTGAAAGGGTTATGGTTGACACAGTGAGAACTGCAGCTGCATTGGAACATGTATTTCATGACATGTTCTGTTTTCGTCGTTGGGGATTGGGGACCTCGATGCAGATTCCCCGTCTGAGGAAGATTTTTCCACAATTCCTTAAGCAAAATCCAAGAACTGAACCGATCACCATGCAACATCACAGTCGAGGTGGCACACTTCACCCTGTGCTGTCCGGCCACAAAGCTGGAGATGCAGCCCCTTGGCACGTAAAACAGCGGTGCATGTCGTGTCGCCCACGTGTGAAAAGGTGCCCCTTTACAATCCAGGATGACGAACGGAACGCCATGCGTTTCGCGATGGTTTTCCGGGGAAGACCCCTGGATGCTGCAGGGTGAAAGGGAGCAACCGAGACGGGTGTCGTGTGGAAAGCTCTTCCTCACTTAGGAATGAGCATTGGTAGTTGGTCAAACTTCAGGTTTCACCCCAATTGCCATGGGTCTCTCTTGAATTGCCGTTTGGATAGCAAGGAATGAACGAATACGGTCACAACGGTCCGCACGACCGTCCGCTTCCGCGCCCCTTTGGGGCGCTTCGCAGGCCCTTGATTAGCTGCATACCCTTGCAGCTGCTGTGGGATGCCCAGGGGAAGGGACGAGTCGAGGTCTCAGTTCTCGCTCTGGTTCTTGGTCTATCGGAACAAGTTGAGAACCTGTGGGCAGAAGGTTGGCCCGGGTAGTTTTTGGGGTTGGACAACAAGTACAACAAGCAATGAGCTACTCGGAAACCCATTCAGATCATTCAGCCATATTCAGCCCCCCGTTTAACCAAACTAAGTAGCAGCCATATTCAGCACATCTTTTTCCCGAAAGCATTGCGAATGGTTCTTCCGGAAAATCTCTTGAACACTGACACTTCTACACTTACACTCACACACTGACACTTCCACATTTGCACTTGAACACTGACATTTCGACACGTACACTTGAACACTTACGCTTCCACACTGACACTTGAACATGAACATGAAGACTTACACTTCTATACGTATCCCAGTGTAAGCGGAAGAGTGAAAGCATCCAACGGCAAGTATCCAAGTGTAATGCAATGAGTATGCACGTGTGAGTATGGAAAACTTGCACGGGAGATGTCCTAATGAAAAACATTTCCCCACTGTATATAAATTCTCTCTTGAAGGCGGAGGGTGGGACGAACAGCGTCAACCGAAAATGCAACCCTCTGCAGAGATCGTGCGTGTCGTGTGCGCGAAATGCAGGCGAGAGTGCGATTTGGCCCGTTCCCGCCGCAACCCTCTGCGGAGATCGTGCGTGTCGACTGCGCGAAATGCAGGCGAGAGTGCGATCTGCGCGCAACCCTCTGCGGAGATCGTGCGTGCCGAGTGCGCGAAATGCAGGCGAGAGTGGGATTTGTCCTGCCCGCGGGTAGTACAACTTTAGTACGCGGAGTAATCTGTGGAGCTGGAAGCTGAGAACTGGCGACTTTGTAGTACAACTTTAGTACGCAGAGTATCTGGGGAGCTGGAAGATGAGAACTGGCGACTTGGTAGTGGTAGTACAACTTTAGTACGCCGAGTATCTGGGGAGCTGGACCTGGCGACTTCGTAGTACAACTTTAGTACGCGGAGTATCTGGGGAGCTGGAAGATGAGAACCGGCGACTTGGTAGCACAACTTTAGTACGCGGAGTATCTGGGGACGGCCAGATGAGAACTGACGACTCTGTAGTACAACCTTAGCACACTCAGTATCTGGGGGGCTGGAAGACGAGAAGTGGCGACTTTGTAGTACAACTCTAGGACGCGGAGTAGCTGGGGAGCTGGAAGATGAGACCTGGCGACTCTGTAGTACAACTGGAATACGCGGAGTCGCTGAGTATCTGAGGAGCTGGAAGAGGAGAACTGGCGACTTGGTAGTACAACTCTAGTACGTGGAGTACTTGGGGACCTGGAAGATGAGAACTAGTGACTTGGTAGTGCAAGTTTATACGCGGAGATCTGGGGAGCTGGAAGATGAGAACTGGCGACTTGGTAGTACAACTGTCGTGCGCGGAGTATCTGGGGAGCTGTAAGATGAGAACTGGCGACTTTAGAGTATTACAACCTCAGCGCGCGAAGTATCTGGGGAGCTGGCGGAGGAGAACTGGCGACTTTGTAGTACAACTGTAGTACGCGGAGTAGCTGGGGAGCTGGGAACTGGCGACTTAGTAGTAAAACTTTAGATGCGGAGCACCTGGGGAGCTGGAAGATGAGAACTGGGGACGTCTTTAGAGTACACTTCACACTGAACACTTAACACATAACTCACACTCTGACTTCCTACGTGATGAAAAATGCTTTCGGGCCACTCGTCGTCTAGTTTTGTTTTAACCATGTTGAGATAGGTCAAGGAGGATCGCATTTAGTGCCACGAGTTTGTGGCACACACACACAATTTGGTGTTTTCCTGGGGGGCATTGAGATGTGAAGTGGACAGACTCAATTCTGAGGAAGTCATCAAAGTGTCATGAAACATATCGAGATCTATAGTGGTGGTCGACTCCAAGCAGCACGTTTCCAGCTGAAGAGGCCTGAATGGACATAGACTTTTTGGAACAGGGCCCCATGGCCTACAAGGCACTACAAGGCCCTACACCAAGATCAGGACAGGTGTCAGATTTGCCTGCCGCATTCATGTCCACAGATTCTGGGCATCAGGACAGGTTGGAATTGGTTGGCCAAATGTTTTCTCCTGGATCCAGGGGGGCAACAAAATCATCGTTCTTCCTCGACGGACCTCAGGTCCTACCACATTGCGGACATGAGGGGCTGCTCCATAGATCAGCCACGGAATCTGGCGAAGAGTGTGACCGTTGAGTGAGCAGTGGGTCTTCTTCCTCGCAGTTTCGTGAGGTGGTGCTTTTAAGGTCCTAATTCTTTGGCTGCCCTCTGTGATAATTACAACGTTGGGTATTGATAATCACATTTCAGAGGAGTTTCTGAAAAAGAGAACATATGAGATATAGTATATTTCTGGAACATTTTGTAATCTTTATGTAGTCCAATGAACGTCGGTGGTGAAAAGTTGAACGCAACTTGCTATTTGCAGCTGCCGCATCGTGCCAGCCATCCAGCAAAGAAGCCTCGAGAGATGCAGCAGTGAATGCATCATCGGCTTTTTGGTTTGGTGGAACCACAGCTACCACGGTTCTGAGGGAGGTGGTTCAGTTGGTGCAATTTTATTGAACTCTGCCCGCTGAACGCCCCGGTCACCCCCCTGGTCCGCCCGGGTTTGCTTGGGTTCCCCCGGTTGCCCATTGGTCGACCATGGCATGCCACATGTGCTGCCACGACTGCCAGTCGTGCATTCTCAGCGGAGTTCCACACGAATCCAGGAGCAGCTGTCACGAATGGACAACTTGACCCCAAGAACAAAACGTACAGTAAGTGCATCTCACCGCAAACCATCTCGAAGGCAACACTAGAATACCCTGGCCACATCTCACAGCAGACTTTTGGTGCATTGCACATGGTGCATGGCGGCTTGCGCAAAGGTATTAATATATTGGCCCTCCTTGGCAACTGCTGTATTCTTAACATGGAGGTAGAATGAAATCCGCAAACAAGACACATGTTCTCAGGCAAGGATAGAATATAGCCCTTTCCTGAGCACAAAGAATGGTCGGTTCCACTTCATTCGTTCATTCCTGAAAGAGCTACTCAGCAACTCAAAAATTTGCAGACATGAATGCTTCCGCTTGGATTGACTGATCCATAAGCAGTACATGTTCCAAACCGAGAGTCTGCATTCGTGCCGCGCGCCACATTTCGCACCAGGTTTGTTCCTGCCCCCCGTTTGTTGGCACCTCGTTCATGACCAATTGAAGCGAACGGCTGTGGCCCTGGTGGATGTGAACCAAAGACCGCTTGGCCTCGTTCATGCCAGCGAAAAGAAGTTGGGATGAAAGGTTCTGGGGTGATGGTCTTTGACAGGGCTGGATTTCCATGGATTTCCGCAAGCTGGATTTCTTGGATCTGAGGCTAATTCAGTTTGTTTTGTGTTTGAGAACGTTTCAACTTGTGGAAAGTTACTTTTCCCCATGTAATCACCCCGTCCAACCTCTTGGAGCTGGCAAGCATCTCTTTTAGAAAGGAATTATATGGAATTATATAAATACACATTATTACCACCTCCCAACCACAGTTTTGATGGACGTGCATGGGAAGACGTAAGACACCACATCCTGCGCTGAGCGTCCGAGCACACCCTCCTTCGTAGACAATGCTCCAAGTTTAGAGAATGCTCTTCTTTCATCTTCTTTCCAATTTACATAAATCACTACAGGCTGCTGGTACTGGTGGTCAGTAAATGAGGGAGCTTGCGTCCCTGATTAGAGATTCCTCTAGATCCGGCCGCTCTCATTCCTTGCTTTTCCTCACCAGTCAGAACTAGGCAGACTTATTCCTGACTTCTTCCTGCAACGGTTTGGATGTGCGGCTGTCGAACGGTTTGGAACGCGCCATCGACCCGCTCGTGGCGATTTTGCAGGGGTTCTTCCACTCGCACAGCTAGCCCGAATGGCTGCAGAGGAGGATGTCCAGGCGACCGGCTCTATTGAGCCCGAAGGGTTCTCCACCCACCACGAAGGTGACCGATGGTTTAGGGTTTGGCAGGATTCTCTGGATCAACACGTGGAACCCCGTTACGTCATGATTGTTGGTGATGTCCAAAAGGAGTTGTCGTAGTGAAAGAGTCGTGGTGCTCCTGTGCTTTGTCCTGCTTTTTCTCAGGCAGCAGGTTTGGAGTGCGAGCTCCTGGGCCAGCCAGGGGTGCCCAGTTAAAAGGATTTTCGGTCCCGGTCCACCGGCACTAGGAGCGGCCGAGGTGAAGGCTATGCTTTTTTGTAGAATTGAAACCATACTGCTGCAGACTGCATCTACGTACTTGTCGGCTTCGTCGGCTTAGTCATTTCCTTGCATATTCAGAAGAATGAGGGACGCCATGCACGCTCGCAGGCTACCCTCGCAATGAACAATACCCTTTGGAGTATACTTCACCTGCGGAACCTGACTCTCCACCAACAGCAGTCCCCAAACCAGGTCTTCCGTCAAGTTACTGTACATAATCAGAGATGGTGGCCACAGGTCGTACGACCAATTACACTTGTCTTCAGGCCACCTATCAAGCTACAGTGGTATATGGATGTATATGGTATATATATAAATATATAATATATATATATATACATACATAGTAAGAAGAAACTATTAGGGGCTCCTGGCATCGCTACTAGGAGCAAGGACGCTTCTAGGGGCTCCTGGCCGTACTACTAGGAGCAAGTAGCTCCTAGTAACAAGAAGCTATTGGATTGGGGCGTACTATAATATACATATTGTAGTTGATCATATTGCACCTGGATCTTCCAAACGGCACACATAATTGCGCTTTCAGGAAAACTGCCGTGACCCGGCATCTTTTCCCAAAGACGGCGTTTTTTGTTGTGACCAGGCAGAAATCCGCAGAAAGCAACAAGAAACGGCGCTTTTAGGCATCCAAACAGCGTCTTTCCCCGTCCATGGATTTTGAGGATTTATTCATTATGGCGTCTTTTCACTGAAAAATGTCTCCGGCAAAAAGTTGTGCCGTGTGAAGTGTGAAGATCCAGGGAGAAAAGCAGATCCATGAATTCTTGGTTCATTCTAACCCTTTACCATCTTTGACGCTTTGATGACTGCTCCCTCCCATCTTCGAGGTGGGGCTCCTTTGGCTGGTGGTTGCAAATCTTCCTTGGCGCCGTGTGTCCGGGACTCCTGTACTCTCCGTTCCAGCTGGAGAGGTCGTTGAAAGCCGGACCGGGCATCCGACATGAACCGGAAAAGGACAGACAGATACTGTAGGGTAGGTTCGTTGGCTCGATGCACGGGAAAAGACATGGTCCATCGGTTGAAAGGATGGATTGGTCCAGACCCTTTTGGTTGGTCCATGTGGGTCCATACGCCGGTCCTGTGCGGGATTTAGAGTCTCCTTTCCTTGGTGTATCGTTTGGACCCCATGTGTCCGGCGGGCAGCCCCATGTGTCCTGGCGGAGTCATTGCTACCGGTGATGCAACAAAGTCTTCTTTGTGGTAGACGGACATCTGGATCCTGTGTTACCAACACCTGCAGCCGGTCACGGACGAGAAGAATGCTGCGCGGGTGAGGCATGGCGTCCTTGATCGGCAAGAGGCACTGGATGAGTTCTTCCGCGCCTGGGAGCGAGGAAGGTTGGTGAACAATAGGGGAACACCTATTGCATGTACTCCAGTTATGTTGGTCTTAGAGTAGGTTGGAGGCCATCGCTACAATCGTGGAAGGGGATATTCCCCTGTTTGGTATTCGAAAAATGGTCTTTCCAGGGGTCTTTTTTCCGGTCATGCCATTCACGGTTTGCCATGATTCTTTCGGAGTTTCAACTCGTCCGGGCCCGAGGGAGTGACGAGTTGATGGGCAAATCTTTGAAGGTAAACGATTGGTTTTTGAGCAGCATAAAGTTATTTCCAGGTGCCCGTGACAACTCCACGGTGTTCAGAACTTGGAATACCTTTTCTCTTACCCAAATGTGGCCCAACAGGACTTGCCCTATGCATTCATCCAACAGCCCTCAGTAGCACTTTTATACCCTGGCCCGGTGCTGCCCTGAGTAGCTTCTGATTTATGGGCTGAAATCCAGGTCAGCCAGTCCATGCTCTTTGAAGCAAGTTGGTCAAACCTTTGAAGGTTTGGTGCTCATGGTTTGGTGCTCATGTTCTCTCCTGTTTGCTTCGGGTGTGCTGGATGCTTCCTGCAGGTTTACGGATAAAGTGAGACGAGCTTGGAAGGCGCCGCCTGCGTTTGTTGGGTCAAGTAGAGCAGTTGCTTTTCTTTTTTGCGGTAGGTTTGATATACCGTTTCAGCACAGGAACACCAAGAGATTCATGACCCCCAATAGAACCAAAACTATTTTGACTGGTCCAAGACTCTGTGTTTCTCCGCTGGCCGCCCTCGGCTTGGATGTCCTCCCGATGTGCGGCACAGGTCTGGTTCTTTGACACGGCCAAGCAGGGCACACAGGCGAACTCAGAGCCGGTAGGGGTGAGGATGGTGGATTTGGAGGTCGTTTGGGGTGAAGGAAGTACTCGTTTTTGGTCAACACGATCCATGTTACGACAGAATAACGCAGAACATGTGACGACTGGCCGACTGGCATGTGACTTTCGTGTTTTTGCCCTGTTCTTGGCCGTTGATTTCCTTGACATCCCGCACCCTTTCAATGGGTACTTCAGCCTTATTCACTTTTCACTTGCCTTCTCTGACAAGTCCTAAAAAACAATCATGTGTACTGTATGAATGTATATTATGTGACATACATTTGAGGGTTGGTTTGACTCATGCGGTTACTTCTTTTCTTGCTTTTCTTGTGGACTTTCCAAACATATTTTGTATACACGGATTCCGGGGGTATCGAAGGTGAACTTTCCTGGACTTCTGTCGACTTTCCTGAACTTTTCTGCTTTTTGTTTGTTTCTGGGATGTCACACTGGTTCATTTCTTTAATATCCCTGCTTTCAGACGTGGATATTCCGGGGCCTCCTTTTCAGGTGCTTTTGGAAGCAACTTTCAAGTGATTTGAAACAGTCAACCTTGAACTTTGTTTGGATTCAACATTCAGTGAAGAATGAATACACGCCAGCAAAGGGTTGGAATTTATTTGGTTGAAGACATGCAGTTATATAAATATATTGTGATCATTTGTGAATTGGGCTCGCGATTGTTGTTGGGCATTAGAACGGCCAAGAAGGCCGACTTTCCCAACAAATTTGTTTTCGAACACATCTGCCACATCCAAACAAGATCAAACTTTTGCGAGGCAAGCATCCGGCGTGGCATTGAGAAATGCCCAACCGCTCAGCTGGTTACGTCGCTCGGGTTTTTGAAACGAGACTGCCTGCACGGCGCTTTTGCTGCTCAGGCTCTGATGAACCATATCATCAACATCGGGCTGTCCATGGCAAGACCGGCTGTGTTTGCTAGAGGAAGACTTTTGTTATTTCTGTCTGGAGCGACTTTGTTTGGTGGCCCCGATTCTTTGACACAGTTCCAGTTGCCCTTGCAACAAGAAGTAAGCTTGCTTGGATTCATTTTTATATGTGCCGTGCCTTGTAAGGTCGCAAGTAGGACCTCCTCGTAGTCATAGCTAGCACTAAGGAGGACATCCCTACGTGAGTCTGCACGTCTCTTGGCATGGCCAGGGCTTCGGCGAATGGCTGGAAGTTGAAGCTGATCCATGCAATTGGCATTGGCCTCAGAGCGGATAAGGGCTGGGTGTCAAAGCCACAGCCTCTTCCCAGGACTTAACACATCTATTTGTTTAAATTACACTCCGACTCGCTAACATGGAAGTGGACACTACCCTGTTCGTAAAGGAACATTGTCTTCAAGAATCTTTTTTTGAGTTCCATGTTAGTGAGTCGGAGGGTACCTATTCTGTGACGAGCAATTTTTTGCCACCATATATTCTAGAAATCATGGTTACTTGTGTCTTGGTAAAGAGTAAGTGCAGGTCAGTAGCATGTTGTTTTCGAAGAAGGAATGAAGAGGCATGGAGGGGCATGAACATCTGACATAGGGGGCCAACATGAGCTTTTCATGCTCAGTCCGAGTTCTTGCTTTGGCCGAATCGCATGTTGAAAGATGGTGAAGACACGGATTTACAACATTCGCCCTAAAAACTTTGCAGTCCATCCGTCGATGGCACACCCGTTGATGTTGATGGCGCCGGCCTGGGGTACTATCCAGACGAAAAACAGACCAAATGGACTAGACTCTAGACCCTGTCAGTGGCCCAATTTTCACAGTTTGCTTTCAACTGAACCGCCAAGTCACCGCGGAGAGCTGCGGACTGAGGTATTGGATCAACATGTCCTTGGACTGCACTTTAGGCCAAGCCGTTCCGACACATCAGACGGCCGAGTCGCGTGGCATGCCAGACTTGCATGCCATCAGACGAGCCTTGCGTAGAGCATGGCCACCCGCCTGGTACCAGTGGAGCTAGCAGATTGCTTGCTTGATCTATCTCCTGCTACTCAGTGGTCCACCTGCTAGGTGTGGCCATCATGTTCTTGCTCCTTCGATCCTTGTGACCTGGCACGAAGCGATGCCCGAAGGCGTTGTCCACTTCGCGGCCGCGAGGCACTTGATTTGGGCCTTTTCCACTTGGGAAAAGTAAATGAGCTGTAACATGAAAAAGAGCCCATCCCATCCGGGACCTTGGGAGAAACATCCAACAGATCCGTGGTGGAATCATCCATCGTCGTCTTCTCTCCGGGCAGAAGGGCACTCTGCGGAGCATCGCAGAGCACCAGATCTGGGTTTCTGTTGAGGCACAAGATGTGAATGGCCAGGGCGACAACAGAGCTTCTTATGGTTGTAGTTGTTTCATGTTGTTTCTTCTTTGATAATTTTGATAGAGAAATATAGTACCACTTCTCTTCACTGACCCAAGCATACTAATACACGCCATGTACAGGCTCGAGCCATGTTGGATCAGCCACTTCCTCTAGGAATGGAGCAATGGAGATATTCACGGTTGCAGGTGCCGTTCTCACCCAGCTTCATGAGGAAGAATTGGGCTGCATGGTGGAGAGTGGAAAATCTGTTAGAGATTTGAAGACGCTCATTGCCACAAAGATTGGATACTCAAGATTTCGACTTAGACTCTTGAGCAAAGAGATGGGCGAGCTACAGGATGATATGCCTGTCAGACCACTACCAAGTTTGCAGCTAGTAATCTTGGACTACTATGCGCCTGAGGGTGCCAACTGGCCGGAAAAACACTTTGCATTTGCATGTGAGAATAATCAAGTTGTTGAAGTTACAAGGTTGCTTCAGAAACCGCTGAATCCTAATGGGACAGAGATTGACCTTCCTGCACCTATGCTTCTTGCTGCAGAACGGGGCCATTTGGAGGTGGTGCGGCTGTTGCTCGAGGCTGGAGCTGACCAGAACACAGCAGATCAAGACGGGGCAAGCGCCTTGATGGTTGCAGCTGAGAATGGCCACTTGGAATTGGTGCGGGTGTTATTGCTCGAGGCTGGAGCTGACCAGAACGCAGCAAATCAAGATGGGGAGACCGCCTTGATCATTGCAGCTGAGAATGGCCACTTGGAAGTGGCGCGGGTGTTGCTCGAGGCTGGAGCT